TACACTCTTCCATACACATACAGCACACACACAACATATACATGATCTGCATAACACAAGTATAGTCCACTAGGACACGATTAACGCACAGGAACTTGCACTATACTTCTGTAGGTTAATTCAAACCCACGACATTCGTTTTTCCGGTCAGTGGTGAATACAATCCTCACCTGTGAAGTCAATGTTACACTCCTCAAAATATTAGTCCGGCAAAGCCTGCCGGGTACGGTGGTGCTTCTATTGTAGATCTGGAGGCTGTCTACAGTGCAGCCATCAGATTCCTTAATGCTGTGGGAAAAATTATTATCATCAGTGGCGTCACTAGGGTTGGAGTCACCCAGTGTGGTAACTCACGGTGTCACCCCTCATGGACCTCCGCCCGCACTAGACCATACAGAAAAATTGGGTTATTATCATCAGTGGCGTCACTAGGGTTGGAGTCACCCAGTGTGGTAACTCACGGTGTCACCCCTCATGGACCTCCGCCCGCACTAGACCATACAGAATCCTTAGTAATGTTTTTGTACTAATGTTACAATTATGCTCTTCATACAACCCTTAATTGTCCACTTCCAAGAACACATTCAGCACCGTGATGGTGTCGAGTGGATAATTTGCGTATGTATAGCCTAGGCGTGACTTTTGTAATCAACATTTTTGAGTTTAGGATTTTGTAAGGACAACTTCGGAACATTTACACTGTGTAATAATGTACCGTTGCTTTGCTACTAAAAAGTTAAGTTACCCAATGCCAAGTGATGTCACCTTTTAGTGGCAAGAGCATGGCAGTGACAAGAGCAGATATCTATCTTCTAAGTGTATAAAAGTCTAAAGTTGTCTGTTTGTCGGTTTGTGGTTTTGCTTGTGTGTTCACGTGCTTGCGAACGATTTGCCTCTCCAACGGTGGGGTTTACGATAAAGAAAAATAGCCAGGTACTGTTGTATATATTGGGTCTTGAAAAATTATAAAAAAAATAAATTAAAATGAAATGAAAATGTTGAAATATGTAATTATTGAAAAGTATGCTAATTTATGTAATTATGCTAATTAGAAAAGTGTAATGTTATGCTGATTAGGAAGGTGTAATTGTATTACGTTATGCAAGTGTATGCGATTATGCTAAAGTGTCCAAATATGATAATTAAGCTCTGCCTGGTTGTCTAGGGTTGCATTATCAATCGGGATAATACAATGATTCTCACTTTTACTGATTATGTCTTAGTGTGTTATGTCAGGTCTCAAAATTCAGATCTCTCCGCAGGATACAGTTCTTATAATTAAAATTATTATGCATGAACTTAGGAAGGCACCACTCAGACTCTTCTGTGTTAAGCAATTTTAATCTCATAATAAAGGTTTTTGGGTTAGATCGCGTTGTTTATAAATTTGTCGTAACCCTCCACCACCCAACACGGCCAATCAGCAAAAAAATGTCAAGTTGACAAAAGACAAATAGTTCACTACTTTAGCCCACCGGTGTGTTGAAGAGTGAATCCACAACATTTACAGTTTGAGTTGTACTGTGACGTTTCGCTGGTAATTACATCCAGCACCATCGGGCAATTCGCCAGAATGGTGAAGCCCTCACTTGCTCCCGGTCTTAAATAGAGCAGCAGGGTGACGTCATCATTTAACTCATTCAGGTGCAGTGATTTAAGGTGGAGGGGGGTATTGTAATTATATAATCGATTGGTAATCAATCAATGGTCAATCTCGAAAAAAACCCATAACATTCTAATATGTGAACTCTTATGCTTGGAATGTCAACACAGTACTCCTGGAGATGTCCTCCTCATTGATCCGTACATTTAACCCTCAATGATTACGTTTGTTAAACTGGGTAACAGAACAATCGGTGAATTCCTCAGAGTAAAGCGAGCATACACGGCGATGGGAAAAAAAGTCCTTAAAAATTAATGTGACAATATTCATACGAACAGTAATAAAGAAAAATGTCCCGAAAACAAACGTAGACCTCAATGAATTAATTGGTAAGATTACGCAATTAACGAAATGTCTTGAAACAATGGTGTGCGGAAGTGTGCCTGCATGTCTAGCAAATGCTTATCAATTGGTCAAGGCTTCAATAAATTCGCGGGCAGGATTCTGTGATCAAAAGAAAGCATTTAACACAATAGTCTCCCTGTGAATGTGTAGATTCGTAACATAGATGTTTACAAAGGTTTAGTTTCATCAATTAATTCATTGATACAGTTATGCAATTAACAAAAAGAATGACTAAAAATACTTCGAACGACCATATCCACGTAACTCAATGGGTAGCAATGCTTTTCACGATCAGCTAAGATTTAACGCCCTGTTCGAAACACAATAACTTTTGGAGTACTCTTATTAGTGTGTATTGTCTCCTTGCTCAACTCTTTGCGTTCAGCAGACGCCGAGGTGCCGGGGCGTTCCTTGTACCGAAAATGCCTTGGTTCCCTGCTGGGCGATGTGTCGTGAGTTGTGTGGGCAATGTCATACACACGACGCTCTCTCTCCCTCGTGGCGGCAGCTGCAGGCCCCTCCACTGCTGGATGAGCTGAGCCGGCACGACGCTCGTCTTTGAAGGTGCCCGATCGCGCTCGCAGCTTGTTCGCTGGTTGCCGGTGCCGACACTCTTTCTCAGGTTGCGCCGGTCACGCTCTCTCTCTCTCCCTTGCACCAGGACACGGTTGGTCCTTGTGGACTTGACCTCTGCAGGAGTGTGCTCGGCTTCCGTGTCCGCACGCTCGTGGGTAGTCGCTAGCCGCCGCCGCTGCTGCTGCTGGTCCTGTGCGATGCTCGCTTGGTCGATGCTTGGCGCTTTTCCGTCCTTTTTTTCCCAGGTCGATTGCTTGTCGTTGCTCGTCACTCTTTCGCTCTTGCTGCAGCCGCTGGTGGGAGCTGGCACTCGGTGTAGAATACAACTTTTTAGCGACACTTCGTCTGTCAGCGCTGAACTCGTACTCGGTGGCACATCGCTACTCTGCAAGCCTCGCCATCATCGGTCGATTGCGGGGCCCTTCCCCGGAGCTTGCCGCAGCAAGACTCAGTTGCATGATCTCTGTCCTTGCTTATATGTAGAAATCTCTCCCCTCTGCGCATCTCTTGCGAAAAAAAAAACAGATTCCCTCTGTCTCGTCCCCCCCCACTTTTGACTGGCTGCTTTCGATCACCATGTTTATGTTTGCATTCCCCCACCTCTGCCTTTGTGGTGTTTGCTATCTCAAGGGGAGGCACCCTCCCTTCATACGTATTTTATTGCTACCATGCGGTGTCAAATTGTGGGAAGACAAAGGCGGTTTGGGGCTCTGGCCCTATGGAATACATATTATCTTGGTTGTGTGCGATTGACCTATTTCGCCTTGTATCTCTTGACTTACCCTAGGTCTAATACTTCATGATTATTATTTGGTTTATGTTTAACCAAGATTCGTGATCTACCATAGTTGTTACCACAGGTATTCCAAGGGTTGTATTAACCTTTGCTCCATGTCTGTATCCAGGGATCCGTGCTTTTTATTTTTGATATCCTGAGGTTGGAGATATAACTAAGTTTTCACTTATGCTTTCTTGACTGCCGGAATTCATATTCCTTGGTTATTTTGGTAAAGTCACGTATATAGAAAGATACAATATGAAACAATATATATTGGTGAATAAGGGTGAAATAAAATAAGTAATAATAAAAGCCACTAATGTAGACTGCAGTCTATAATGTCGATTTATTCTTTTCGCCAAGTTTCTAACTTTTCCCGTTAAATAATACGCGTTGTAATGTCCGTTTGCCCTGTGCTCTGCGTCCGTACCAGCGAGTCTGGAGATTTGTTTGTGAACTGTCCAAAACGTCCGTGGAGGTCGTGTCATATGGTCCTTTGACAATCTGGAGATTTCCCAGATCGTCATTAACCTCCCTTTGCCCCGGAGTTTATTATTTAATGGCTCTTTATGACCTCCTCCCTCCAGTTGCTTTAATGTGGCAAGGCAGCTGGGTTTGAGGGGTGGGATGTGCCTCACCCTTTCATGCCCAATGCTCACCCAGATCGATTATTATAAAAAAAGAAATTGTCAGAATTATTCATATGCATTTTTGGAAAAAGGCCTATATATATACAACAGTACCACACCGTAAGCCCCTCCGTGAGCAAGCGCTATTCCTTTTTCACATCCGTCAACTTTTAATAAGTTTAATTAGCGATTTAGTGCGATTTTTTTGGCGCTATCTCTTTATTTATGACACGTGCACGACCATACCAACTCACGCGCCTTTGGTGGGGGGGCGGCCCATGCCAAGTCGCACGCCTTCGGTGGGAGTGAGGGGGACATTTTCTTGTGTTAAAAATACACTAAACGCGGAGCTTAAATCTTCAGTCTGATGTCCCCACCCCGATGTGTGCAGTTACTAATATATACTGTCGCTAGATGCTACCACTATAGGCCGTAGATATTACTGCAGAGCAGCCGGGAAGATCGTGGCTGGGGGTGGGTAGCAGATCAGCCCCAACCTGTCATGGTGCCACCTCGGCCGGCTGGACAATCTAAGCGAGGCCGGAGGCTCTGCACGGGACTAGGCCTCACCACGCCACTGTCAGTTGAGTACTTTGTGCTATAGAGTCGATTAAGACTGCTATAGAGTCAGCATGTTCTACTATAGTGATAGCAGGTACCACCACAGTCGGTACGCACTGCTGTTACATTTTTAAGAGTAGTTTTGAAATATTTTTTTGGCCCGGGCAACGCCGGGTATATAAGCTAGTTGTCAAATAAATCCGAACAGTTTTTCCTGGATCATCAAAAATGTGGTATCCGGGATTTTTCGAGTTTTTGAATGAATCTTAAATTTAGAAAAAACATCTCAAGTACGGACTTGTGTTAGCAACATCACATGCTGCTTGCAGTTTCATCGGTGTGCAGTATATTTCTAAACATATCACTGCTGTAAGTTGTATGCCTCTTAACGAGTGTATAAGAGTTCAAATAACCTGCAATGTTCCATACTCTACAGTAAATCTAAAACTAAAAAAGTGAAATACCAATTTATTTGTAAAATTGTGGAGAAAAAAACATTGATGAACAAAACAGTTTGATAATTTTTTTGTAAAAAATAGAAGCTCAAAACACATGCTAATAGTTAGTACGCACTGCTGTTAGATTTTTAACAGTAGTTTTGAAAAAAAAATTTGGCCCGGGCAACGCCGGGTATATAAGCTAGTTGTCAAATAAATCCGAACAGTTTTTTCCTGGATCATCAAAAATGTAGTATCCGGGATTTTTCGAGTTTTTAAATGAACCTTAAATTGAGAAAAACATCTCAAGTACAGACTTGTGTTAGCAACATCACATGCTGCTTGTAGTTTCAGCGGTATGCAGTATATTTCTAAACATATCACTGCTGTAAGTTGTATGCTTCTTAACGAGTGTATAAGAGTTCAAATAATCTGCAATGTTCCATACTCTACAGTAAATCTAAAACTGAAAAAGTGAAATACCAATTTATTTGTAAAATTGTGGAGAAAAACATTGATGAACAAAATAGTTTGATAATTTTTGTAAAAAATAGAAGCTCAAAACACATGCTAATATTGCACACATTTCATTTTCAACCGAGGAACACATGCCCACAATGCGGTTTAAAATTACAAGTTTAAATTATAAAACAGCCATTAGTTTATTAACATCTCTCCTCTTATTACAAATCTCGAATTCTTTGACTTTTAACATGTAAACTTTACAATTACAACCACAAGACCTTGTTACTTTCACGAATGGGAGTCGAGTCTGTTCATGTGCGGTGTTGGATGCTCTCCTGAAGCCACAGGCTGTCCAACACAGCAGGGTTCCTGAGATTCCAACACTGACCGCTGTACATCCAAATACCTATATTCCACAGGCAAGCGTCATTAAAACAGTTCAAGTTATATAAACAATCAACATGGACAAGATGAAAAATCTACTCGCTAATTTATGTTAATTGCACATGAGGTAAACACGAAGGAAAACCTAGGCACGAATAAAGAGACCAGTCTGCTCATAGTCCTAACGGGCTCGCAAGTGCTAATGTGTTCATGGCCACATGCGCAATTATGTACTCGATGGATGGACATCAGCAAGGAGGATCTGGGCCGAGCTGGGGGTGAAAGATCTATCGTACTCGACGTGAGATCTCAACACCATTTTTGTTACACAAACAATACGTAACTTACTTCTGCGTTTGCCCAAGTGACCCAGACCTTGTTAAGTGTGAACACGTTTCACCAATTTATACTTAAAAAGTGCCCCTCTTCAGAGTATCAGAGCCTTTGGAAAGGTGCTCAAACTATTCGGTTGGATAATGTTAATTTACATCCTGCTTTGGTTTACATTTTAAATTATTTACCAGCTCACGTAATAATCTCATGACCTTTCTAAAACAAGTTCCATCTTTTGAAATTCCAGTACATATGATTTGTGGAGTGGTGTTGCCACTGTGTTTGGTGTTAAGTGATGCTTCAGATGCTGTTAAGATATGAAACTGGCTGCGAAGTTAAACTAAATTGTGTGCATTAACTTGAGTTGTAAGTTTATTTGAGCTCTTAAAGTACACCTACATCAGTTCCAACTAACTTCACTGTGCCATTCAGGCCAGCCCAAAAGGTGGCACTACCAAGAGATGCAACTTCTGCAACGGTATAAAAACAAATGGCGCAACTGCAATCTGCTTAAAACGACTACTCTAAGCGCTGCAACACCAACCTCAACAAGATGTAATGACATCTACTTAAACGGCCACATAACAGTATAAGCCTAGAGAGAGCTTATTTCACCTGTAAGACACTGTAAAAATTGAGGAAAGTGCTTGGATGCACATGCAGTTATACATCGCTTCACAACTTAGGCAAACAACCTTTAAAGAAAGGTGACATGCTGGTTGGGCCCACCAATGTTAGTTTTCATTTTGATTAACTTTGTGAATAACTTACATTGGAAGTGTTGCATTCCCTAGGGAGTAAATTTAAGTGCAAGATGTGATAACTTTTTTTAAATTTCCCAAAACATAGGGAACGATGGGTACAAGTGTTTAAATGCAGTGTTCTGAGCATTTCCTTTAACATTGCTATGCATGCAATGCAAATGACTAAAACAGTCATGGTACCAAAGCACAAAAGCTACCTTGAATTCAATTGTAGTTTTGGCAAAAGGTATTTTACTTTCAGCAAATCTAAACAAGTTAACATAACACTGATGAAACAAGTTATGAAATCAACATTTCCATTTAACAAATGTTTTAAATAAGCCCGTAACTACAATGTAAATTATTATTCCCCAATAGGAGGAAGATACCATTACGCTTAAGACATTTGTGCATAAAGTCCAGCACAACTGCCAAAATCTGTTCCACGCTGCTGAGAGCTGAAGCATCACAACAGCCAAAGTGCAAGGGCTGTGAAGAACAGCAACTCACCGGCCTTCATTCTTCATCTAGAGTCATGAGCACTGCTCAGACAAAATATAAAGTCTTGGCCCAGAGACGAGCACACACCATAGTCGCTTCAAGAGTGTGGTTCGCAAAAGCGTGCATCATTATGCGCCCACCAGCACTGGTTATAGCCAAACACACACACGGTGGACACTGATGAAATAAAATGCACACAATTGCAAACTGGTTTCACGTTGAGTAGAGGGTACACACGAGGAAAAGCCACACAGGACAAGGTCTTTGTGATGCCGAGCCGCATCAGTGCGTGCCAGTGTACGCCCTCCAGATAGAGGCCATGGAGGCGACTGCCGAGGACACGAGACCGCCCGCGTTGCTCGCAGAGATTGGCCCCGAGTCCTGCAGGCTGGTGCCACCGGTGTTTGTGAGCGCAGTGCTCTGACTGGGGCTGCCTTCCAGTGCCCGTGACGGGATGTCCATGAAGCGTGGGTTGGGGACAGTTTCCCAGTCGAGCCCCAGGTCCGTCTCCTCGTCGGTCGTGTCCTCCCCATCGCTGCCCTCAGACTGACTGGCTGTGCTGGCGTCCACCAGCTCCATCGAGTCCTCCATGTCGGCCGTCACCTCAAATGGTCCGCTCCTGAAGGCAAGTGTGCGAAGCCAGTGAATTCAGAGACGATACACACACACTGCACTTTCGGCCCATGATAATACAGCCGTGTGTTGTTTTTTTCGTACTACATGAAGCAGTGTAGCATGTGAAAGGTTGCCAAGAAAATGTTACTTCCAAATTTTAGACAAAAACACGACGCTACATTGGAAAAATATATTTGTTTTTATCCTTACTAGGTAATAATAAAAATGATCACACTGTCATTGTATTCCAAGTACTCATCTGACAATTGAGTCATTGCACGAAGAGTACAATGACCACATTCACTGAAGGGAAAAAACATAATTGAAGGCAAAGGTGCTAATACCATGCACAGAAAGTCTCACCTTCCTAGGCTGCTGTTGTCTGGCCTCACCATGTACATCAGGTTCTTGAGCGGACGTAATGGATGCAAAAGCTCAGGGTCCACATGCTGCAAGGATCAGTGTGGAGTGTGTCAGCAACTCATTGGAAACAGCAAGTAAGTGAAACAGGTGGCTGCTAATCCAAGACACTTGGATGTGAGCAATGCAGGTGTAAAGGTGGCTAAGAATGTACTGAGCAATTTGCAGCATGTTCAGAATGTGGTTGCTAGGGTGTTAACCAGAACACCTTCTTCACATCATATTACACCCGTGTTAGCCTCCCTGCACTGGGGCTTCCAGTTTCACATAGAATACCGTTTAAAATCCTATTATTACCTTAGAAATCAGTTAACCATCTTGCCCAATTCTACATCATTGACATGCTGCACCCATGTCCCCTCAAGTTCCCTAAGATATGTGGATGTAGATCTTCTCTTCATTCTCAGGTCAAGGCTTCGCTCTATGGGTGACCGAACTTTTTTCCGTGTAGCTCCCAGGCTATGGAATGCTCATCCACGAGATATCAGGGATCTCCGAGTCTGTAGACATTTTTAAAATGCATCTTAAAACCTATGTATACGCTTTCACTTATGAAACTTTAGAATGAATTTAGTAAGTGGATTTTTAAAATGTATTTATAATATAATAATTTTCATGCCGAGTGTCTGCTGCTGCTGCTGTGTCCTGTACAGCGCTTTGAGATCCTTGATGAAAAGTGTGACATTCATGGAATTATTATTATTAAATTCAACAGGGTGTGCCTGGCACTGGAATGGAAAATAAATTGCAATTAAACAAAAAACTAAATTACACTTAAAGGGGGACATATAATTAATTGTAGTGTCCCATGAATGTATTTTGGCCAACAATAGTGTGTGCAGTTCTCTATCCTCAACAGTAAGGTCTGGCAAGAGGTGGCCGGGTGTCTCAGGGGTCAGAGCGTTGAGTCCATGAAGCTGAGATACTGGATTCAAATACGGGTTTTGGCCACCCACGATTAAACTGGATAGCTGAAGTCGAAATTAGTGTTTCATCTTAGCCCAGTCACTGCAGGAAAAAAATCACATTAAATTTGTTATTGAACATGAATTGGCTAAATTCAATCTGAGGAGTAAAATATCATTTTGACTGTGATGCTTACAACTGTACATTAATGAAGCGTGCACCCCTACTGCCTGAAAGCTAAAAAGGTCACTTTAATGATTATTCAAAAGTCCTGTGAAAAATCTCTTCCACAGCCATTGTCTCATGCATGGAGCACACTGTCCAGTGTAACTTGTTTCATGCCATGATGCAGAGTATAATAGAATAAGTTGATAAAAGAAAACCCAGAAACCTCTGGCATATGACACCTTAAAATTTCAAACCAATAATTTTTTATAGCCTTTAAATTCCTATACTTGTTATTTCAGTTCTAGATTTGAAGTTTTTGTGACTGCAATGATCCACACTCTTTGGTTCTTTCGGTAAAGTCACGTAGGTAAAAATAAAAAATAAAGTTAATCAAATCACGACGTTTCGGAAGCAATACAAGCCTCCGTCATCATTGTTATTTCAGCTTTCTGATACCAATTTGGCACCAACAATATTGGTGCTAAGCAAACATTAAACTCTGGAAATGTAAGTGCATCATCTGATAAACCTGGTAAACATGTGTGGTTACAACAATGCAATAACAGAGAATGTCCTGCCGGTTTCATGTTTAAAGGACGGCGCACTCCAATTGTTGTCCAACGAGTGTGGATATGAGCGTGATTGTGTTTGGCAATGTCTTCTGTGTCACAATGAGTGCAAGGATGAAGTGGGGCAATTTACATCGACAATCTTGACCAGGCACCCTGTGAGAGTGGAGTGAAATGTGCAGGCCTCTTACGGCTGCTGTGGCGGTGGTTTACCTGGGAGCAGCAGAGGTGCAGAACATTGGTGTTGAGCTTCTGCACAGCCCGAATGAAGCGGTGACGGCTTATGTCCTCCCGGCAGAACTCACTGTGCACCAACAGACAAATCAGCATTACTGAAAGGCGCACATGCTTTCAAGTAAATATTTCAGTTTTGTTAAAGATCCATTTTATGCAATCATGAAATAGTGTTCAATATTCATACAAAGTAGATTAGTAAATAATTTAATTTAAAACGTGAAACAGGCTAAGAAGATTAAATTCCTTGCGGATTTTGGAAAACAACCTTGATATATAATTATACATTTTCAACCTTGTATCACTGATAAATGACATTCAAATTGATAAAACAATGATATAATTGAGCAATTTTGGAATTGGCACAAGTTGTGCCTTAAATAAAGATCAAATTCAGATAGTTCTCATATCAGGATAGTTAAAATATCACATTCAAAGACATTAGGAAAAGCTACATTTTGATTGTCTGTTGTTTTTAAGAAACCAGTGTTAAATCCTGAGTGAGTGGGTGAAGGCTGGCCAGCCTTGGGACCTCACCTGTAGCAGAGCCTCTGGGGCAGGTTGATGCCCAGGATGTGAGACAGCACGGACACCAGCTGAGCCGTGTGGCACAGAGCGGCTGTGATGGGGTACGCCGGGCTGCCCTGCTCCAGCACTGAGACGGACACCCAGTCTCGTTATACCGGGGCATCTATCTATGAAGACTGGCTTTTTTCAGGATGGGGTGGTATGACCAGCAGCAACTACCTCGATTAACTCAGTGCTGATATAATGCACCAGGTACTCAATTTAGGCTAAGTCAACTTCCAAAAACGGCTGAGGTTATGTTTAGATTCCAATTGCTGGTCATCTTGACCACAGCAGGGAGGTGAACCTCCATCGCTATGCAAACATGTACCCTACAGAAGTATTTGCTGCATAGGCAGCACCATCATCACCATAAAATGCAAGCACCCGCCAAACTCACCGGGTTCCTGCGTGGAATTCCTGCGTGCCTCCACCCAGCTGTAGTAAGGCGAGAAGTCTCCGTTGTGCGGCAGGCAGATGTGCGGCTGCACCACGGCCACACGCACCTCCCCATTGCCCTCTGTGTAGACCCAGCGGCCAGACTGGTAATTGGTGCGCCGAGCCTCCGCCAGTTTGTCCACCGTGCTGCTCTGCATGGCCGCCTCTGTGCTCGTTCCCGCGTGAGGCCTGCTGCACCGCCAGACAAGCGCGCACACGCACGACCATGCAAGCCATCACACACCCAGCACACGCAAGCATGAATGTTCGTGCACAAAAAACAGAAAATAATTTTTCCGATAAATTCCTGCATATATATTTTCGTACATAATGAACAAGTGTACACATCTTATATTCTTGGTTCTTTCGGTAAAGTCACGTTGAAGGGAAACAATAAAATATATATTGTTTTATATATATTTTATTATTTTATTGTTTCCCTTCAACGTGACTTTACCGAAAGAGCCAAGAATATGAATCACTGCAGTCACGAAAGCTTTAAATCAAAATTTGTACAAATCTTATTATGTGGCGAATAAAAGCCCAGATATGCAAATTGATGGATAAAAAAGAGCGACTCAAAAAAAACCTCACAAACTCGTAGGTATGCACTTAGGCTGCGTGCCCTCGGCTGTCCAACACGATTTAGAAGTCTCATGAATGAGAATTACACCAAATTAGTATGGCCTCCATTACAGTGTCCTAGTTGCCTAACAAATATTTCCTATAGTGCCACTACAGCGGTTGTAATGGGGTATCAGAATGATTTTAAAGCATGTTGTTCTCAACGATGTTTTCATGAAATTCTTGTTGTACAGCCCTAGAGACATGGCATCGTTACCTATCTACGAGAACTATTTGATTTTATGGTTGCATCGTCACAGACACAGCTGCTTAGCGTTTTCATACTTAATTGCAATTCATTCAATGGCTAGAAAGCAGGAGTTAATTGGGATTCACTTAACATACATTGAGCTTAGGTGACTAAATCGGATCATACATTTTTGAATGAAATAATGCAAATGGTATTAAATTTCTCTCACTTAATTTAACTTTATTATATGGAATGGATCATGGGCCTTTTACCGTAAACAATTCGCTCACTTCAGCAGCGGTAGGTTATGGATAACACAATTAACTTACCGTATCAGTGGGCCTCAGTTTTTATTCAAAGTAAAAACATTGTATTTCACATTAATCATATCACCTACGTTACAGGATAATACTTATCGATGATTAATGTTGGCCGAAAGGGTTTGGCATTAGACTATTAAATGATTTAAAATGTCTTCTACCCGGAGATATTTCCCCTACTAGTAGAATTTATTTACAGGCTGCGTGTATTTAAACATAAAAATAAATACGATCCATAACTACAAGGCCAACTGCAATACATTTGGCAGGTAATCAGATCGAGTACTTGGCAAACCACAAATTTCAGCTCCTGAGATGGGCAAAATAAGGAAATTGTGTCACCGCTTTACATAATGCGACAATCCGAGAATGGACAGTGCACTGAAAGGAGGGGACAAAGTAAAAACGGCAGACAATTCGCAATTAGAATCCACAAAATAAAGACTAAGAAAAAGAGGGTTATGGAAATAGGGGAAAATACAAAATGGTAGAACACATAGAACTCTGCACAACCATTCGGAAATGATACACACACATTAAGAAGCCATCCTAAGCAATGAGCATAAACGGTTGATGGTAGCCTTCGACAGCCAGATGAACCATCATGCACGACAGATAATTATAAAACTAGTGGAGGAATTGTAAACAGATATCTATAAAAACTCGCCATTGCATATCTGCTTTTATCAATATAGATGGTAATTAAACTCCTGCACGACTTAAATAACCGTTAATGGCAATGTGAAACAATGTGATCGCATTAAATACAGGGCCACTCCTCAACATGACCCTGTTACCTGCATTTCCTATGATTAGCTGATGAAATTAACACTGTATGAAGAGGTTTACTGCAACCACTACATAGTGAATGTGCAAGTGATGTTTTAACGCATGACAAATGAGCCCTCACAGTTGTATCCAACACCTTTCTTGGGATTTTAAATTTGCGAAATTATAGGTGGAAGCATGAAATTGAAAAAAAAGGTTCAGGTTTCTCTTTGTTAAAACAGATTGATTATACCTTGGAAGAGCATTTCAATCTGGTGTTCCCTCTTAATAAAAATGCATTTGCACTACTTCATCATCACACAACATGGAGTAAAAGTCCATAATGTTTTTTACAGATACAACTAATCGATGAATAAAATACAATGTGCTGCTTCCAAGAATTGTAACCACAAAACAAACAAGTGGTTTTAACGACAGGCAAAAGGAACTAACACTATCCACTGAAAATGGTCCTTCAAAATTAATGTAGCCCAGTGGCATTAGTTTTACGAAGGAAAACTTTAAACTGGTTTTGACTGTACTGGGTATTATCAACAGTGTGTGTTATTTTCAAAACTAATGGATGATGGGTAATCACTTGTGCAAGAACGGCAGAACTTCCCCTCGTATAAAGATGAGCACTATTCAGAATGAAATGTGCGTGAGACAAATCCTACACTCCACATCCACAGCGACTGGCAACTCTACAGATCTTCACACCTACAAGGACAAATCTTGGTCTATTGACAGTGATGGAGACTAGTAGCCACCTTTCTGATGCCAGATCAATGAGTCCTTCCGAGCACACCTTTCCATTTGTAACTCTGAAGAGCCAGTGGGCTCGCAACCATCTTCCCAACCTCCTCCACCCACTGAATACCCCAACAGAATATCACGGTGAGTAGGGTCAAGATGTGAAAGAACGAAAATTTAAATGTTGCAGTTAGTGCACCAGTGTCACGCAAGTACCAAATCTCATGTTTCTCAATCAGCTTTCACTAATTAGTGCCCCAGCATGCTCAGAATATTCCAACTCTCAGGCCTCCATATCAGAATATTTATTTATACTGGAGGAAACCGATGAGCTATAATCCTCTTTCTCACAGATGTCCAGTAGGGGTGGGTAAGAACGTTACAACAACAAACATCACAAAAACACAATAGAAGTGCAAAGTATAGGAAAGGTAAGCAAATCACTAAAAGTATAACAAATAAAATCTTGATTGGAAGCTTTCGTGACTGCAGGAATCCATACTCTTTGGTTCTTTCGGTAAAGTCACGTAGGTAGAAAAATAATAGATCACGACGTTTCGATCACAACACACGCAATCGTCATCAGGTGGGACAACCACAGCAAGAAACACCTGCTGAAGTAGGTGAGAGATCTGCCGTGGCACGAGGTTATATAGTAGGCCTCGGCAGTAGGGGGGGAGAGAGAAGGGGGGGGGGGGACAGAAAGTGGACCCAGCAGCAGCACCCGTGTCACTGGAGTGAAGTGGACCCGGGTGCTGCTGTGGGGTCCACTTTCTGCCCCGCCTCCTTCCCCCCCCCCTCACTTCTCTCTCCCCCCCTACTGCCGAGTCCTTTATATAGTGAGGGAAAAAAGTATTTGATCCCCTGCTGATTTTGTACGTTTGCCCACTGACAAAGAAATGATCAGTCTATAATTTTAATGGTAGGTTTATTTGAACAGTGAGAGACAGAATAACAACAAAAAATCCAGAAAAACGCATGTCAAAAATTTTATTAATTGATTTGCATTTTAATGAGGGAAATAAGTATTTGACCCCTCTGCAAAACATGACTTAGTACTTGGTGGCAATACCCTTGTTGGCAATCACAGATGTCAGACGTTTCTTGGAGTTGGCCACCAGGTTTGCACACATCTCAGGAGGGATTTTGTCCCACTCCTCTTTGCAGATCTTCACCAAGTCATTAAGGTTTCGAGGCTGACGTTTGGCAACTTGAACCTTCAGCTCCCTCCACAGATTTTCTATGGGATTAAGGTCTAGAGACTGGCTAGGCCACTCCAGGACCTTAATGTGCTTCTTCTTGAGCCACTCCTTTGTTGCCTTGGCCGTGTGTTTTGGGTCATTGTCATACTGGAATACCCATACACGACCCATTTTCAATGACCTGGCTGAGGGAAGGAGGTTCTCACCCAAGATTTGACGGTACATGGCCCCGTCCATCGTCCCTTTGATGTGGTGAAGTTGTCCTGTCCCCTTAGCAGAAAAACACCCCCAAAGCATAATGTTTCCACCTCCATGTTTGACGGTGGGGATGGTGTTCTTGGGGTCATAGGCAACATTCCTCCTCCTCCAAACACGGCGAGTTGAGTTGATGCCAAAGAGCTCCATTTTGGTCTCATCTGACCACAACACTTTCACCCAGTTGTCCTCTGAATCATTCAGATGTTCATTGGCAAACTTCAGACAGGCATGTATATGTGCTTTCTTGAGCAGGGGGACCTTGCGGGCGCTGCAGGATTTCAGTCCTTCACTGCGTAGTGTGTTACCAATTGTTTTCTTGGTGACTATGGTCCCAGCTGCCTTGAGATCATTGACAAGATCTTCCCGTGTAGTTCTGGGCTGATTCCTCACCGTTCTCATGATCATTACAACTCCACGAGGTGAGATCTTGCATGGAGCACCAGGCCGAGGGAGATTGACAGTTATTTTGTGTTTCTTCCATTTGCGAATAATCGCACCAACTGTTGTCACCTTCTCACCAAGCTGCTTGGCAATGTGTCTTGTAGCTCATTCCAGCCTTGTGTAGGTCTACAATCTTGTCCCTGACATCCTTGGACAGCTCTTTGGTCTTGACCATGGTGGAGAGTTTGGAATCTGATTGATTGATTGCTTCTGTGGACAGGTGTCTTTTATACAGGTAACAAGCTGAGATTAGGAGCAATCCCTTTAAGAGTGTGCTCCTAATCTCAGCTCGTTACCTGTACAAAAGACACCTGGGAGCCAGAAATCTTTCTGATTGAGAGGGGGTCAAATACTTATTTCCCTCATTAAAATGCAAATCAATAACATTTTTGAAATGCATTTTTCTGGATTTTTTTGTTGTTATTCTGTCTCTCACTGTTCAAATAAACCTACCATTAAAATTATAGACTGACCATTTCTTTGTCAGTGGGCAAACGTACAAAATCAGCAGGGGATCAAATAATTTTTCCCTCACTGTAACCTCGTGCCACGGCAGATCTCTCGCCGACTTCAGCAGTTTTTTTCTTGCTGTGGTTGTCCCACCTGATGACGATTGCTTGTGTTGTGATCGAAACGTCGTGATCTATTATTTTGCCACCTACGTGACTTTGCGGAAAGAACCAAAGAGTATAAAATCTTGACTTAAAAGCTTTCGTATCTGCAGGAATCTGTTCTACCATTTTCTATTCTTATATTCTTTGGGTATTTCGGTGAAGGCACGTAGATAGGTTAAAATTAATTAAAATAAAATAAAACTACGACGTTTTGATCACAACAGAAGCGATCGTCATCAGGAGGAAAAAAGAGGGGGAAAGCTGCTGGGGCAGACTGTTTTTAAAGGTTTAAAATGGGTGTAGCCCAAGGGTCATTAACGAAGTGGGCGGGGCTAGTGATGTTAATGTGAGAAATTATAAAGTTAATATAAGACCGGAGAGCGGCCTCCACGGCGAGTGCGTGGAGGTGGCTATGTTAATGTGAGATATTAGCATGTTAATGGAAGATCGTAGAGCCTCCGCAACATCGAGATCGGCGCGCGGAGGTGGCTATGTTGGTGTGAGAAATTTAACCTGTTAATGTAAAATCGGAGAGCCGAAGCCAGGCAGAAAATAAAAAAAATTTAAACTAACATCGGAAGGTGGCAGGATGGGAACATCACAGCCACCTTCCGATGTTAGTTTTTTTTTCCCCCCATGGACCAATCAGTTTCAAAGACAATGCATATATTATCAGAGTATGTTTTTTGTTTGCATTCTGACCACAAGTATTGTGGTTAATGCAGACATGATTCCTTGTAAAAGGTTGCAGTTTGGTGTTTTAACATCTTAACACCTGTTTTATTGCCAGAAATGTAAAAACTTATTCTTATTTTTTCAAACCGACAATTTTTTTATCCATAATACAAGTTTTTTGGGTTAGATCGAATAAATAAATGTGTCATTAAACTCGCCACCGCCCGACACAACCATTTAGTAAGGTTTGTCACGTAAACACAACATGCCAATTCGTTACGAGTACAGCACACCGGTGTATTGGAGAGCATGCCAACGAATTGGCATGTTCTGTTTACGTGACAAAACTTACTAATTGGCTGCGTCGGGTGGTGGCGGGTTTAACGACACATTTATATATTTACGCGATCTCACCCAAAAAACCTGTATTATGGATGATATTGGTCGTGAAAGCGTACGTGTTAAACTATTTTTATTTAACCAGGTAAAGCCCAGAGCTATTTGCTTCTTTTTCAGACATATGTCCAAGCCCAGATTGATCAAAGTCTTGCAAGTTAGATAAGCCAAGGATATTTTTGTTACAACGACATTTATTATTCTCAGCCATGACAAATCTTGCAGGTTTTACACAGTATACACTAGAATAAGTTGGCCTCTGTACCTCCTTCAGCCATGGTCACATGCACAGAAGCTTGGGAGCGCATGTTCTCAAACAATGATGCCTCCTCCTTTGTAAGCATTTACACCAATGCTTGCAACTTTAACACTTTTCCATTTCGATGAGGCACGTACGTGTACGTCATTGGAATGGAATGGGAAGAAAACTCAAATAAAATATCTGTATCTGTACGTGGTCGAAAGACGTACCAAGGCTCCCACATGGCCTTGCAGGAGGGCATGTGGCACAGTTTGGCGCCAGCTATCGTCGTGTGATCGTGTCGCTAGTTCTCTATTAATAAAATTTACACTAACCGCTTGCGCATTCCGAGATTCAGCAGTAATTGAGAAAACCACCCTGCAAATTGCAGATGTCTCGGAATGTGGAAAAGGTTAAAAACAGACAATAAACTTTACATACATGAGGCTGTTCACATAACCCGTATGTGTATGACAAATAACAAGTGCACAACACAGACACAACGCACGAACGTCACACTCACATGTAAGTAGCCGTGCACAGAATGGGACAGCAGGCCAGCTCATTCACGGTGCACTTGTGAACAATATGGAAGGCAGTCTCAATTCTGAAACATCACACGCACACAAATACACGTGCAGATGAAAACTCAAGTCATTGTATTAGTGATCCCTATGGTCAGCCATGCACAGTGCAACAAACCGTTTAAATATTTAAGCGTGCAGGACAACGGTCTCTGCACCATGGAGCCACCGCTCTTTTTATCAACATGAGTAGGTATGTGAGCAGCTTTCACCCATAATATGAAAACAAACCATCTCCAGTCTACCCAGTGCTTCCTGAACAGGGAATTTCTTGGGAGGGGGTCCTCGGATTAAAATTGACAAAATTCAAACCAAAGTGAATCGTTGTTCAAGTAAGCCTCGCGGATATCATCTGCTGTGTGCAGCACTTAACCATTTGGTGTAAATCCCACATTCCTTAGCAGGGATGAGTCTAATCAGAGAAAAACTAATGGTAACTCTCCACAAAGTGCTACTCATCTTTCATTAACCGCGGAGAGATGAAGGGCTCGTTCGACCCGTTTCTACCTCGAACTACGATGGGTTCTCCAACGTCGCTGCATGAGCTCTCCGCGAGTTACGCGCCATGGTGGTGTGCAGAAATGCTCTACTTCTCTCACTCCGTACATCTCCATGCCATGTCTAGGCTTCTCTCACTCCATTCATCTCCATGCCATATCTAAGCTTCTCTCACTCTGTACATCTCCATGCCATATCTAGGCTTCTCTCACTCCATTCATCTCCATGCCATATCTAGGCTTCTCTCACTCCGTACATCTCCATGCCATATCTAGGCTTCTCTCACTCCGTACATCTCCATGCCATATCTAGGCTTCTCTCACTCCGTACATCTCCATGCCATGTCTAGGCTTCTCTCACTCCGAACATCTCCATGCCATATCTAGGCTTCTCTCACTCCATTCATCTCCATGCCATATCTAGGCTTCTCTCACTCCATTCATCTCCATGCCATATCTAGGCTTCTCTCACTCCGTACATCTCCATGCCATATCTAGGCTTCTCTCACTCCGTACATCTCCATGCCATATCTAGGCTTCTCTCACTCCATTCATCTCCATGCCATGTCTAGGCTTCTCTCACTCCATTCATCTCCATGCCATATCTAGGCTTCTCTCACTCCATTCATCTCCATGCCATATCTAGGCTTCTCTCACTCCATACATCTCCATGCCATATCTAGGCTTCTCTCACTCCGTACATCTCCATGCCATATCTAGGCTTCTCTCACTCCATTCATCTCCATGCCATGTCTAGGCTTCTCTCACTCCATTCATCTCCATGCCATATCTAGGCTTCTCTCACTCCGTACATCTCCATGCCATATCTAGGCTTCTCTCACTCTGTACATCTCCATGCCATATCTAGGCTTCTCACTCCATTCATCTCCATGCCATGTCTAGGCTTCTCTCACTCCATTCATCTCCATGCCATATCTAGGATTCTCTCACTCCATTCATCTCCATGCCATGTCTAGGCTTCTCTCACTCCATTCATCTCCATGCCATATCTAGGCTTCTCTCACTCCGTACATCTCCATGCCATATCTAGGCTTCTCTCACTCCGTACATCTCCAAAATCTTACATTCCACATCTCCATACTGCATCCGTCTCCGCCGCTCTATGCATGGCCTGGAACTCACTTATGAAGCACCTTTATAAAGCTTCATGTCACACTGCGTTGTGACAACTCCAACTGTGATGCGCTGTGTTGAGATCACCCTATGTCCTGCTATGTTGGGATGGCACTACTGTGTCTTTGTCAAGAGGACACCTGCTGTTTTGGGATGGCCCTGCTATGTGGGATCGACTCCTACTCGCAATATAAAACCAACTCCCGTTGTGTTGGAATAGCTCCTGCTTTGTCAGAACTCCTCCTGCTGTATTGAGCATCAAGCTGCATGTAGAAAATGGGAAGAGCGTGTCGAAATGTATTAATAAAAATAGGTATACGTATTCAGAAGAGCTAGAAGGCAGATGTATTCAATCGAGAGAAAATATTACAAATAGAGATATTAGAGAGGAAAATGGAGATGTAATCATAATTGAGTTCGTAGTGAGAATTAATGTATGATTGTAATAGCGTGTATATGCCGATCTCACAAATTCCATGTTGTGTGCATTTAATATTTCACCCGCTCGGCCCCTATCTCCACTGACCTCCACCCCAAATCTCCATGTGTTATGAGTACAGACTACATGCTGGATAAGATGGTTATTAAATGAGTTTGCATATTGGTCGCAAAAGCATGCGTGTTAAATTGACCTCACGGTTTAACACAGAGGCTTTCGCGACCAATATCATCCATAAGACATTTTTTTGGGTTAGATTGTGTAAATATATAAATGTGTCATTAAACCCGCCACCACCCGACACAGCCAATTATTAAGGTGTCTAATGTAAACAAAACATGTCAATTCGTTACCAGTACAGCACACCGGTGTGTTGGAGAGCCAAGCCACAACATTTACAATCTGAGTACGACGTTTCGCCAGTAATTACAACTAGCTTCATCAGGCGACAGCCAGATTTGTGGAGAAGTCCACCTGATTCGTTCCTTAAATAGAGGCGTAGATGTGATGACAACACTTGTGCGCTCTTCTTTCGCGAAGTGGGGGGGGGGATTAATGAATATGGTATTCAACGTATATTATACACGTGCATTATGGGAGCTCATTGTTCTTGTACTTCCTGTCGATTGTGTGTACGATAATAGCCGTATGGTGACCTGTTTAGGCATGCATTTAAACAATGTATTATTTGATGATTCACTTCCAAGCAGCACTAAATCTATAGCTATCCGAACGGTTAATATTTGTATTTCTCTCAATTTCGATAGATTATCTATGTCTTGGCCAGTAGTAACTAGTTTTGCACAGAACTTCAACATCAAAATCAATTGAGTGTCCTTGTTGGCACGCATGTTCTGCTACTGCTGAAAGTTGTATTTGGGAGTATTTAATATTTCTGTGGTGTTCTTTTTGTCTCGTGCTAATCATTCGTCCTGTTTGCTCAACATAGCATTTGCCACAAGTGCAATTAATCTGGTACACACCCTTTGTTGATAGCTTCAGTAATACATCTTTTGTACCAGATGTTAATTTCTGTATTTTATGTGCCGTGCCAAATCTGACTCGGATGTTTTGTTTTTCCAAACATCTGACTAGTTTATCAGTTACTCCCGCAATGTATGGTATTTTAATAGTTTTAATTACTTAGGCAGTTTCAATTTGGTTTTGGCATTCAATGCCCTGTTTATTTGTGCATCATTGTAACCATTCAATTGCAGCGCTTCTTTAACATGTTTAATTTCACTTCTCAGACTATCACCATCTGACACTTTTTTAGCCCGATGATGGAGCGTCTTGATGAGAGTGGATTTCTGTGCGGGGTGATGGTGTGACTGCATTCAGATAGGTGTCAGTGTGCGTTTTCTTGTGTTAAACAGTACTTACTCATCATTTCGAAACCAGTCCTGCCAGAATGAAAGGATTGCCAGATTCCTACTAGATCCAAATTTAAACTGGATATTCAGTGTACCCCTAATATACCACGGAATAACTAACATGTCTCGACATAATTAATATCATTGGCAAAGGGCCTCTCCAAATCTGGCAGCTCTTTGTGGTGTCGTTGAGGCACAAGTAGCCTAATAAATGTGGGGGTTTCCCATCCCAAAAAATGTTCAAAGCCACATTGGCAACTGAAGTTCTGATTACAATATTACATGGGTCTGAGAACCTGAGCAAAGTTCTTAACATTTCCATGGAGTGTTGTTTACACCTCCAAATGCTGTAAAAATGTAGATGCACAGCTTGTAAAACTCTCATGTGCCAGAACCTCCCCAACTGTGTGTTGATAAAAATAAACTCTGTCGTTTGGGATACTCTTCATATCTTTGACACTCTAATTGAGAGGAATGTTAGAACTCTTATCCACCATAACATGCTGTTTTTGGGGAAGAATGTAATCCTAAATTGCTCAGTTCCAACAAAAAATGATGAAATAAAGTTGAATATTTTTTTTTACACAATATAATTTACAAAGTCAACCACAAATTATTCGTCATTAATCAAATTTCCACGGCTGTAAATACACATAGCATAAGAGCTGGACATGTTAAAATAACACTGAAGTTAATGATAATTTGTTATTCTTTTCTGATTTTATTACAATTTGGATTATAAGTGAGCCATTAATTTGCCATCTACATATTTATGGCAAACAAGGCATGTTGCCTGTTTCCAAAAGTTGCCAAATGCACGAGCACTTGGCCTCAGGATATTCTGCACAAACATGTCCAAACTCTCTGATACTGTGTTCAATAACAACACCACAAGTAAAAACACTGCTCTTTGCGATTTTTCCCTCACACTGCCCAACATGGGAATTCCCACTCATTGTCCTTTTCCGCGGGAATTCATAACCTTGCTCAATTCAAGAAACGTTTCAACTTTGATCCATTAAAATGTTTACAGGATCGCTTGTGTTTGGCCCTTTGGCATTTTTGGCCTCAGGGCCTGTGCTCAGTAAGGGAGGGTAGTAATAAACCCCCCCCCCTCCATCATGTGCACGCACGTACACATATCCACGCACGTCTGCACAAACATCCTATCCCGCTCACACGTGCACGTACACTTTCTGCTCACACACAAACAGCTCCGCAATGTACACGTCCGTGTGCACACACACATAAGACAGCTGGCCCTGTTCCGCTTACATCCCCCCCCCCCCCGCAGCGAGTGAGCGTACATACCCTTGGGGTGGCAGGGCCTCGGTGAGTGGGAAGATGGAGGAGGTGAGCTCACGGACGTGCATGCGCCGCGCCGTGCCCAGCGCCTTGAGGCGCTCAATCAGCTCGCGAAGCCGTGGCTCGAGCCAGTCCCGGCGGCGGCCTAACCGGCGCCGCATCGTCTCCTCTTTCTCGGCGTGCTTGCGCGCACGCAGGGCATTCCGCACATTTTCATCCCGTTGGCGCTGCACGTGAGCGTTGTCTGGTGAACGCATGCACACACACGCAGGCAACAGAGATGGAGGCCACACGAGCAGAAGGGTGTCCCAAACAAGGGACTGCATGCGGGTAGAAAAATATGCGTCCACAGAATGGTATGCGCAGCTCTTTATCGCCCAATTTTAATGGTAAACATCGCAATACATTCAATCGATTCTAATACTATTTGTAAACGATGAAAACCTCAATAGATAGAAAAGTAAGTGCAGGTCAAAGTCCCCAGAGTGATCATGAAGAGCTTGTCCATATAAAGTCCCTGAGGCATAAGACAACATAGGGGAATGACAGCTATACCCCATACTGATGTCACCAACAATGATATACAGTTTATGCATTTTTTATTCATTTTCTTTCTACTGTCAAAAAATATAGCCACTATTTTGAGTTGTTGGTCTAAAAAAAGGCTGCGTGGATTGCACATGCATAATGGCGATGTCACGTGACATGCAAGACATGGGAGGTGATCCCGTGTTCAAAATTGTGCATTTTCCGGCCTCAAAATCATGTTTATTGCCTTATTATTACTATTAGAACATATTGGTTTGTTTTCTGTGTCATAAATGGCATAGATAGAGGCATTTCACAAGAGTCAAGACAAACGTGCATGAGGTAGCTTATTCTTCTTGATAAAGGTAAACTTTTGATTTAAAGCTTTTGTGACTGCAGTAATTCATATTCTTAGTTTTTTCGGTAAAGTCACGTTGAAGAGAAACAACAAAAGAACAAAATATATATATAAAACAATAAAAAATTCTCACGACGTTTCGACCATAACTCAAACGGTCATCATCAGGTGTGTCGGTTTGCATAAATTTATTTTGAAAACGGCATATTTATTTGTTTATATAAAAATAACGTTTGCGTCACGCGCAACGATTGGCTGTTTGCCAGGACTAGTCCATCTATTTTTTGAAAAGAGGAGGGGGGAGACGAAATTTGTTTTTATGTATGCTGTCTGAAAGCCACTGTAAGCGTGAACAATCAATCAAGAACTGAAATGATTTATCAAATCTTTCCAATGATTGCTAAGATAGAATCCATCTTCTCGGTTGAAATTGTCTCTGTGTTTGTATATGTGGATAGCCTCATGAACGAATCTCTCATGGAAGCCAGATGGCTTACAAAGAACCTCCGTCTTGGAAAAGTCAATGGCATGTGAGCCTACTGAATTAGAACAATGATCTGCTACGGCCGAGGTGTTGGTCCTACCGTGTTTAAGGTCTGCTTTATGTTCACGAATGCGGTCCGAGATATGGCGTTTGGTTTCTCCAATGTAACTACTACCACAGAGGCAACTTAGTTTGTAGACACCAGGGTATTGTATGTCCGGAATCACATCTTTTACAGACGGAACCAGATCACGGATTTTATGTAATGTGTTGAAACGGACCTGGATCTTGTGTTTATTCAAGATTTTGGAGATCTTTTTTGTGATCCCAGCAATGTAGGGTAAAGTGATGGTTTTGAAAGGCTCCTAAAGAGGGTTCTTCTTCATGGTTTGAGTGATAGCTTTGCGGATTGTATAGTCGGAGTAACCATTAGCCCTAAGAGCTTGGTGTACGTGCTTGAGTTCACTGCTTATGTGTTCCTGGTCGGATATGCATTGGGCTCTATGATACAGAGTCTTGATGAGAGAATTCTTCTGTGATGGATGGTGGTGGGAATCCGGTTTCAGATAAGCATCCGTATGGGTAGCTTTCCTGTAGACAGAGTGGCTCATTGAACCATCAGGTCTCTTTTTAATTAGGACATCCAAAAAAGGTATCTTGCCATCTATTTCGACTTCCATGGTAAATCTGATGGCTGGGTGTATGGAATTGATGTGGTCGAAGAATTGGTCTAGAGCAGGCCGGCCATGTGGCCAGATGACAAAAGTGTCATCCACGTACCTCTTCCATAAGGTTGGGCGCAGAGTGGCAGTCTGGATGGCGTCAGTCTCAAATTTCTCCATGAAAATGTTAGCTATAACTGGAGAAAGGGGGGAGCCCATTGGGGTGCCCTCAGTTTGTTTGTAGAAAGTTCCATTCCAAGTGAAGTATGTATTGGTTAAACAGTGTCTCACCAGGGGGGGTACCTCAGTGTTTAGTCCTTGATGAACCAAGTCTTCAATGATTGCAATGGTGTCAGGTACAGGAACCTTGGTGAATAAGGAAACTACATCAAAACTGACAAGCAGGTCGTCTGGGGACAGGGAAATACCCTTGATTGTTGATACCAGGTGAGTAGAATTTTGTACCGCAGAGGTGGTCTTTCCAGTGAAAGGACGCAGGATTTCAGACAAAAAACGAACTAGTTTGTAGGTGGGGGAGCTGATAGTAGAGACTATGGGACGAAGAGGTGTATCAACTTTATGTATTTTTGGTAAGCCGTATAATCTTGGTGGCCTGGCAGCAGAAGGTTTCAACGAAAACTGTTTAGATTGATCAATTAATGCGGTTGAATCAGAAATTATTTTGTTGGTTTGTGTGACGAGGCTGTTGGTGGGATCTCTTTTTATTTTTGTATAACTACCATCGTCGAGTAATTCTTTAATTTTGTTGTTGTATTCTATTTTATCCATGATAACAGTAGCATTGCCTTTGTCAGCTGAGAGAACTACAATATCATTCCTCTTTTTTAATTTATATAATTCAAAACGCTCATCTTTGCTGAGGTTGCTAGCTGGCATCTTAGCGTTTTTGAGGGTTGCAGCGATTTCAGATCTTGCTACGTCTGCAGCGATGTGACCCAGGCCCCTGAGAGCAACGTCTACTTGGGCAATTATATCATTAACTGGTATGTGTTTAGGTGTGACTGCAAAGTTTAGACCTTTAGCTAAAACGGATTTCAGACCATCGGAAATAGAACTGTTACTGCGATTAATTACGACTTTATTAACGTCTAACTTTTTGGTGTGTGGGTCCGGTCTTTTGTTGAATAGGAGGTTAAATTTGGAAATCAGGTTTTCCTTACATTTGGTCGACATAGTAGCAGCTGAAGAGGCAGTCATATTGTCTACATGTTCCCAATCCGATGTGGACATTATTGATGTGATTCCAGACATACAATACCCTGGTGTCTACAAACTAAGTTGCCTCTGTGGTAGTAGTTACATTGGAGAAACCAAACGCCATATCTCGGACCGCATTCGTGAACATAAAGCAGACCTTAAACACGGTAGGACCAACACCTCGGCCGTAGCAGATCATTGTTCTAATTCAGTAGGCTCACATGCCATTGACTTTTCCAAGACGGAGGTTCTTTGTAAGCCATCTGGCTTCCATGAGAGATTCGTTCATGAGGCTATCCACATATACAAACACAGAGACAATTTCAACCGAGAAGATGGATTCTATCTTAGCAATCATTGGAAAGATTTGATAAATCATTTCAGTTCTTGATTGATTGTTCACGCTTACAGTGGCTTTCAGACAGCATACATAAAAACAAATTTCGTCTCCCCCCTCCTCTTTTCAAAAAATAGATGGACTAGTCCTGGCAAACAGCCAATCGTTGCGCGTGACGCAAACGTTATTTTTATATAAACAAATAAATATGCCGTTTTCAAAATAAATTTATGCAAACCGACACACCTGATGATGACCGTTTGAGTTATGGTCGAAACGTCGTGAGAATTTTTTATTGTTTTATATATATTTTGTTCTTTTGTTGTTTCTCTTCAACGTGACTTTACCGAAAAAACTAAGAATAAAGGTAAACTTGATCGGTTTGCAATTGTGTGCTCAAGGGCATGAGAGTACCTACAGTTAAAACGCCATCCTTAACGCTATGAGGTCAAAGCAATGTCTCCCATGTGTTTCTGCAGCAGCCAAATCCCAGTGGTAATGACTGAAGTCACGTGGGGTTCAAACAACTGCACCTTGCTGTTGCATGGTACATTTAAATACTGGTGTGGCCCTTTTGACAGCATGGGCAGAGTTTAAAAAAAGACTTAGCAATACAGAATTGCGCCTTAGTATAGCTGAGCACATGCTTCATAGGCATTAATGTCATGCTGGAGACTAATGTTGCACCAGCTCATATTCAGATAGCCAATCCAAACAGAGTAAAAACAGAATAAACTTAAGTTATCTGGCATTGCCACATGGTTTTTGCCAGGCTAGGATTGATCTCAGGCAGTTCCACACTTTATCAACTCACTGTGCTTTAGCCACCTGATGTCCTGATATTTTGAGTAGTCCTTCTCTTCCTCCCCCCAACCATCTGTGCTACCAACGCCCTGCCTCTACTACAGTCAAGGCTCAAGACCTTCCTCTTCTCCTCTGCCTGTGACTGTCACCAATCTTAAGTGTTTTCACTTGCACCTCACTTTATATACCTCCCTTTAAACATTGCAATGCATGTTTTGAAACGCAGTTGAATTTGTATGAAATATAAATTAAAATGTATGTTATGTGTACCAAACCGCCAGGTCCCAAATCACATCAGATCGTGACTCACCAATCAAGGTGTCTTTCTTCACTTGATCGATTGCCCTCTTGAGCAGATCAATCCGGCTCTTACAGCAAAGGATCTCCCACTTCTATGAAGACCACACGGGCACACATGTGGTCATTGGCATAAACATAGATCCACATTCGTTTTTTGTACCTAAGCATCGAGTCAAATTATAATAAATTATTTCACTCATGATACACGTTTAAAATTTTGCATATAGAGTATTTTAGTGGATTGAATAGATAATCTTTTTTTCCCAAGCAAAACCACCAGCAAGTGGCCCCGATAAGACACCGGGCCCTGGTGTTGTAGGGGGTTTACCCGGTGCCAAGAGAATATGCTCAAAGTAAAAGAGCAGGTGTCAACAAGATAGGTTGGGAAAAAATATCGATCATCAATTTATTCCAATTATATGTCGTGTACATCTATGGTAATGGAAAAAACAAGACATATAATACAATTGAGACAGGCAATACAAAGGAAACATACCATGAGACTATTTGTTTCATCTACGTGGCTTTCCCGAAAGACCCAAAGAATATGAGACAACAGATTCCAACAATTCAAACGTGACAGAACATATGAGCGAGTAAAGGAGACAATAAAGATAGACCAATTCCAGGTACAGATTGGCCCTCCAAACCAGTGGATCTCAACCAGGGGTACGCGAACCACTAGCCGTACGTGGCAATGTCCCAGGGGGTACGTGAGGTGATTTACAAATGTGCGAAATTATATAATACATGAGTCATTGGTGAATAATCATGTATGAAACTGCCAAAATTAAATAACTGCAGTAACATTAAAATCCATACGGTAACCTAGAAATATATAAAATACATTTAAAAACTCATTGATCGTATACAATGCGGTTTCCAAGAGTAACCAGCGAGTGTGAACAAATTATGCCATGCATGCAGAGCGTCCATTGCATTTATTTTTATTCGCTTGCAGTAACTAACTAGTTAGGAAACCTCACAAAATGGACAATTGGTTAAAATATTGATGTTCATTATTCATAAATGTATTTCTCAGAACCATGTTGAGTCAGGCACTGGGTTGAAACCAAAATCAACAAGGGGGTACAATCCAGATTTGAGTAGCCATAAAAGGTTGAGAACCACTCCTCCAGGCGATAGGAATACATTATGCAGCATAGAAATAAAACACATTTGGAAGGTGTTTTGGATGGATTTGTACAGCTTCATTACGCACCAACTTTTCCTTTTGTCTCTGAGCCTCAGCCACCTCACGAACCCTGCCAATGCCAAACACAAAGACAGCATGTAACCAAGCAGCTACTCAGTCATGCTGCAACTCATACACATTGGCATTATTACCACAGCACTCTGATTTATGCAAAATATATCACACTAAGTCAGCTGTGATAGGTTAACAATGCTCCTGCCATCGGCATAACATCACAGCCATACACAGCTGGAGGACAGAGGCTGGTGGATACCAGTGAAACGCACACTATGCAGGATGAGTTAAAATGAGTCCTGTTGCTTGACATGCACCTAGCTCTTTGTCCACATTTGGATAAAGGCCTCCCCACACCACGACAGACATGGCAGTTGTATGATCCACTTCACCATGCTGGACATCTGTGAATACTGGACATCTGTCAAAAAGACCTTTATAGCTCCTCAGATTCCTCCAGTATGAATACATATACGGATTCCTAGTTAAAGGAAGGTCTAGGAATGGTGCAGGTATCACTCATCACTTATGTTTGCCGTGGCCGAGAATTGAATTCATAGCAGATTGTGCTCGCACTGCATCCCCGTGACACCCCTAGGCATTCATAGCTTTATTTTAAACCGACTTCACAATCTTCGAGCATTGTTATAACAGGTCCCTGCAGGGTGGGCTGGTAGGACAAGTCTCTGCGCTGTCTATTGCTGATTTTACACCCAACAGCACGAGATTTCACTTCGTTAAAGTATTGAAAGGGGACGGACGGACACATTAATCTATTGCAGGCTGGTACACTCAGTTTACAACTTCGTTCCTACCAGTATAATGGGTTGCTGTCTTCATATAGGGCACACTTATTTAAGAAAATCCACAGATAACAAATGTACTGGTAATTGCTCTTAAGAGAATGTTAAAGAAAAATAAAATTACTACCCCTATGACAAGGTTGAGTCAACACTGGACAGCAGCCATGGGATAGCAGCTATGGGACTGGAGCTATGGGATAGCAGCTATGGGACTGCAGTTATGGGACTGCAGCTATGGGATAGCAGCTATGGGACTACAGTTATGGGACTGCAGCTATGGGATATCAGCTATGGGATAGCAGCTATGGGACTGCAGTTATGGGACTGCAGCTATGGGATAGCAGCTACGGGATAGCAGCTATGGGACTGCAGCTATGGGATAGCAGCTATGGGATAGGAGCTATGGGACTGCAGCTATGGGATAGCAGCTACGGGATTGCAGCTATGGGACTGCAGCTATGGGATAGGAGCTATGGGACAGCAGCAATAGGATAGCAGCTATGGGACAGCAGCAATAGGATAGCAGCTATGGGATAGCAGCTATGGGATAGCAGTTATGGGACAGCAGCTATGGGACTGCAGCTATGGGACAGCAGCTATGGGACAGCAGCTATGGGATAGCAGCTATGGGACTGCAGCTATGGGATAGCAGCTATGGGATAGCAGCTATGGGACTGCAGCTATGGGATAGCAGCTATGGGATAGCAGCTATGGGATAGCAGCTATGGGACAGCAGCTATGGGACTGCAGCTATGGGACTGCCCTATGTTGGTTGGTAAGTCACCACGGTTGATCGGGGGTTTACTTTCAAATAATGTTGCGGAGGAATTATCATGTCAATCAATTTTCTTAATGCATTTATAGGATCGTTCAGCCCATGTGCTTTGAATGTGCAGCTGTATAAATAGTAAAACGTATAACTAAGTCACTTGTGCCCCTTACTTTTCCTGATATTGTTGCTTCTCTTTTTTTGCGATGTTCAGTTTCCCTTGCTTCTTGAAATAGCTGTAAAGATACAGGCACAAAACACATTTTACAATATAAATTCAATCCGCTAAAACAATAAAATGGTTTTACATATGTATTAATCATATTTACTATATGTAGGAATCTAATTATTCGGCACTCTCCTTATTGCTCATGTAAACCCCCATGCAAATAATGTGATTATCAACTTCGAGCTTTAAATTGAATGAGGTCGCAGCGCTGAACCAGCGCTGCTAAAATCCTGGGTTTGAATCTGGGTTTCAGGAAACCGTAATGAAACCAGGTTTCTTACGTCTGGAGTTGGTTATTTCATAAATGAATGACTACACAAAGAATTACATGAAATGTATTTGTTAATTCCCAGTTTGTTACTGAATTTTGGTTGCCAACCCCTGATCATGACAAAACTTTACTACCTGCCATAACTATACATATGATGCTGTGTTTTTAAGTAATGACCCTTCAAATTGTTTATTTATGAGCAAATCTGTACAATACTATTGTTTAGCTTTTGTAATTTATCTTGCGTTCAACGTTTGTCTTTTTTGTGAAATAATAAATTATCATTGGTTGTTGGTCACATATACAAATATACTATTAATTCTCGAATATCCAAATGGGTGAAAAATACTACTATGCCCACATTTTATCAACTATGAAATGGCATTATTATTTAAAAGTGAAAACTGAGGAAATAGTCCAAGTTCCGAAAAAAAATCAGCGAGTGGAGAGGAGAAAATCATACATATCAGGAGTTGGGTAAGGAAGAGGTTAAAAAAAACATCACAGAAACATTTAAATATCCCCCACAACCCCAAAAAAAGAATGGTAAGAGGCATTAACAGACAAATAATTATACAGCTTAGATTTGTGGCCGTCTCTTACAGTGTCGTGAGGTCTGCTCAAATTTAGATGCTATACAAGTTACTATGACAACCATCGTCCTAATCAACCATTATTATTCAGTCAGTCCGATGAACGTTGAGTGCCCTTAAATTTTTCTGTATGTTCACAGCATTACCACAGACAAGATGCACTATTCTGGTGAAGTTGCACCGTACCCACAGGACTGACAACAGTACTGTGGATAACAACATCGGGGCCACCATGAACATTAGGAAGATTTTAGTAAACAACAGAAAGGACTGATCTGCAGACAATATAGAACGACTCAATGATTGGCGCGACCCCACAAACAAGAGGAAGCGCAGCTGAAAAGGCTGCAGATTAAGAGTTGCACAAAATGCACAGAGAGATGCGTGTACACACACACACAGCTTATATTTTAATTTGAGACGTTTCGATTGTAGTAAGGGGGTCGTAGTTATTGTCTTCAGCCTAAAATAAAAACGTCTCATTTTTGTTAAAAATATAGGCACATCTGCTCCAACTTGTTGTCACGAGCCTGTACATTCCCAGCTACCCTCATTTAGGAAAGAACATCCCTTTAATGACAACAGTTAAAAATAAGAATGGAAGTATTTCAACAATTTTTGTCGTAGTGACACATCCACTTTCCATTTGGATCAAATGTCTAATATTGGACTGGAGTTTCACAAAATAATAACTCAGCAATTCTTTTGACAGCAATAAACCACACAGCTGTGTGGAGGAGTTACCATATCCATCCATATAGGAGACTAAAGTCAAACATCACAACATGCACATTGCATAACACAAGCTATAAAAAATATATAATCACCCTACGCGGCATCTCTTTTTAGTAGTACAGTACGTGGCACGAAAGTAGAAATATTTAACTAAATAACAAAATAAGGGCACAGCAATATTTTAATATAACGACTGATTTGCTCGAATGATCAGATGTGTGGTATTCCAAGTGGTAGATATGTAAACATTGGCAATGTTTACATTAACTTGCAAGTGATTTTACATAAAAGATATAGCACTGTGTTCTCTACGATATGTTCAACTGATACATTTAGGCGTCATTATTAACACAAACGAAGCTATTTTATAGTGCTCCACTGATATACAAAATGTGATTAGAAGCCATGTCATTTCATGTTTTCTTGGAAAGCCATGGCAATCTGACATCAGAGCTCCACGCGTGCTCCACGTGTTTAAATGAACATTGTGACTATACACTTGTTGATGCTTTTACACACCTGTCACGCGTATACATCAAGAAATGCCAGACAAAAATAATCGCGCGTCGAACATTTAAAGGTATCACCCTCGTGAGACAAAACACGCCAAAAGTAAATGTTTCTCACACACACAAAACACAACACACACTCAGTGCTCACGTCAGAGTACATAGCGGGCATACCACCAACTCAATTCACGCAACACCCGTGTTTGTTGCGATTAGGTCCAGATGACCGCGCAGTCAGCTTCACAACCCACAACCTCGTCACATCACACGCAGCAAACAGGCCGCACACATCTCCTGTACCATCGCTTACACTCTCCACACCCCACATTTCACCGCTGTCACTTACCTCATCACACAAAGACAAAGATAACCCCCCCCCCCCCCCGTATAGCGTCAACAGAATGTTGGGGCCAAGTGCTTTTAGCGAGCACCTATGAAGGCCGACACGGCACAGGACGAAGTGGCCTGGTACCACGCCCGGCCGCCTTTGTCTCCCTAGCGGCGATGTTTTACATCATCGCATCCCACCACACTTCGTGGCAGTAACGAAAGGGGAAGTCGCCACACACCTCACGCACACGAAACCTGACGTCGCAACACCTCATCTCGTCACACCTCGTCTCGCACCACTTCTCACACCAAAGTCACTCGCGTCTCATGCCTCGTCACTCCACAACAGACTGTTGAGGAGGCAAGTGCCGTTCGGGAGCACCTATCAACGCCGGAGCGGCTCACGAGGGGGTGGGTGACCACAACGACGCTCGGCCGCCTTTGTCTCCCCAGCGGAGATGTTTACACACCGCACCAGGTACTCATTTGAGGCCGAGTCGACCTAGGGAAGGCCCAGGGACCGGTTCAGACAATCGTCACTGGTGGTGTTGGTGGCCGTGAGCGAGACTCGGAACTCGGGCCGCCGGGTTCGTGGCACAGCGTTGCGCTCAAAGCACTACGCCACCGCTACTCGTCACTCCTCACGCTTCTTCATCACACACTGGCGTCGATCACACCTCGTCACATTTCACGCCTCCTCACGCCGCAACTTCGTCTCGCCTCGCCCCTGCACCCCCAACAGCTCGCCTCACACGCGAACCACCCATTCGCACACCGCGCACGCGCGCATCCACTCCTCGCGCCGCGGCCGCCTTTGTCTCGTCGCGGCGCACCTCTCGTCCCCCTTGCCGTCCATGTACGAGAAGTCGCCCTTGTGCACGCACGCGGCGCACGTGAGACGCCGCCGCGAGCTGCTGCACAGCGGGCATCGCTCCACGGCCACGGAGATGGCCAGGGGCGGCCCGTGCGGCGCCGGGGGCCGCGGTGGCCGCTGCGCGAATCGCGCGCCTCCGCCACCTCCTTCGCCTCCCGCTCCCCGTGCTCCTCCCGTCGCCATCGCCAGAGCTTCCCCCAGCGTCGTTTCACTTCCTCCTCCTCCTGCTGCTGCTGCTGCCCCCCACCACCACCACACCCGGGCGGCGGGCGCCCCCCTCTACTCCTCCTCCTCCTAGCCATTGGCTAACGCGCCGGCACGTGACCCGGCCCCGAGCTGGTACCCCCCCCGCCCCACCAATCGCGACGCGCGCGCACGCGCGCGCATCGACACCCTCCTCGTCACGTGATGCTTTTGTTGTTGCCGCGAGACGGAAATTTGCGGTGACGTCGCCCGCGGTAGAAGCCTCGCGTCGACGTCACCGGCCGAAAGTGTAGTGGGTGACGTCACCCGCGTGGATGGGTTGCGTTGACGTCACAGGCGAGCGTGGCTGAGACGGCGCGTACTATGTGCAGGTTCTTATTTAGTGCTGTTGCTGCTGCGTCTGCGTTGACAGTGGTGCACAAACAACAAGCTAAAAACAAGTTCACCATAGCTCGCTCCTAATGACGCCACCGCCAAAAATATAAGAAGGATGAACCCCGAAAACAGTGTCAGAATCTTTATTTCGAGTGGAGAAATGCAATGAGCTATGAGGCTCTTCTTCACAGGTGTCCCGGTGTGGGAGCCCTGAGTATGTGTGACGTCCTGGGTGCCGATCCAGAGGTGTAGAGACACGAAGAGCAAGGTTTACACCTTTCCCATAAACCACACCCATACATATTCCTGTCAGCCAAGATCAGGAGTCGGCAACCGAAATAACAAGAAGAGCCATTTTTTAAAATTTGAATTCGGTAACAAAAAAAAACCTCAATATGTCAAGAGTTGCAATGCATGTGAATACCGTCACGAAGCAGTCCTTAAAGATCCGCACGTGATTCCGGAGCCGCAGGTTGCCAACCCATAGCCTTGATAATTGAACGCAACACCACCAGATCCCGTAACAAATCGATTCCTGCCACCCGAACACAAATTCCAATTCCAGGTGTAAACCCGGACAGGTGGCAACCGGAACGACGAAGCATCCCCAGTCACGTGGCAGATGCCCGAGGGTGGCTTCCTCCCACACTCGATAATGAAGTTGGCCAAACATCCCCATCGAGGACGACAAAACTTGGCAATTGTTAGCACCGGTTCTGGCTGCGTTTCCACGTGTCTGTGGTTTCCCATGCTTATGAATAATTATCCCTCTGAGTGGACGAAAACTGTGTGCGCTACACATAAATCATGTTTTAATATGGCTCGCATGTGGATGCCATTTCAGCTGTTAGGTGGTATGTTCTCCGTGTGCTTCAGCTCTTCTCTTCACCAAGGTTTCCTGGCTGGTTTGCTCCTTCAGAGAGTCTCCATTCTGATGCTCCTGGTCCACCATTTCCTGCATCTCCTGATGCTAAGACACCATACAGGTACTTCATTTAAACTTCTGGCTTAATCTTGACTTACAACAACGCTGCTATTTACAATAATCACTTTGCAAATGGATATGCAGCGGTTACTGATGTAGGGTACCTTCAATGCTTCCCTCCTCTGGAACTCTAGCTGTGCCATTCGCTCCAACACCCAATAAGGGATGTCGGGAATTGCCATGTGGATCACGTACTTAATAAGTAATGCAAAGTGCTGCACAAACACCAGACACCCACACAGCACAGAAACACATCAGTATATAGCGTACAAGAGATTGAAGAGGGAACCCTGAGGCCTTGCTTAGAAATGTATAGAAATTTAAGGCAAATTATAGCGTAGTTAACTGTTGAATATATAGAGGCTTTCTAGAGCTCCCTATAGAAAAGAGCATTCTGCAATCAGTGGCGTGAGCAGACAAATGCAGGACTGTTACCTTAACCAACTACTATTTCATATTCTTAGCTCTTTCGGTAAAGTCACGTTGAAGGGAAACAATAAAATAATATTAAAATAATAAAATAATTATATATATTATTGTTTCCCTTCAACGTGACTTTACCGAAAGAGCTAAGAATATGAATTACTGCAGTCACGAAAGCTTTAAATAACAATTCAACTACTATTTGTGAACAAGTGGCGGCAGTAGAACGAGCAGCTGGCAATCATAAGGTCGCAAGTTCAATTCCAGGTTGGGGTTGACTCAGTCTATTATTCCTCTGGAGTCAAAATAATGAATACCACGTTGTGGGGAAGTCAAGTATTTGTCCTATAGATACGCTTGCCCCACCCATAGGAAAGTGGAATTTCCATAACTGGCTCAGTGAGTAACTAGGATTTGAGCAACGTCTTAGTGCTCATTAGAGCAGGACATGACGTTGACTTTGACAACCATTGGGTGCTGGAAAATGACACAATCACAAGCAGAGACTCATCACAAAACGTAATCTAGGAATAGGTTTTACCCTTTTAACTGGCACAAAAACTGACACCTTTATTCAAGGCATCATGTTTGCAATAACCACAACACAAGCAGTCAAAATGCAAACAAAAAAGACAACTCTGATAATAATATGCACTGTCCTTGAATTTGATTGGTCCACACCCGAGACGGCTTTTCTTAGAGCTTAATCTCCATTGGTGTTGAACCAGAAGACGCCAAAAGGCGTACAACTCAAAAACAGCGCACTATCAGAGTATTGAGGGCTCGGGGTGAGCATTTATATTATGAGACCTCCTTTGCCAGTAACAAGATATAGGAATAGGTTTTACCCTTTTAACTGGCACAAAAACTGACACCTTTATTCAAGGCATCATGTTTGCAATAACCACAACACAAGCAGTCAAAATGCAAACAAAAAAGACAACTCTGATAATAATATGCACTGTCCTTGAATTTGATTGGTCCACACCCGAGACGGCTTTTCTTAGAGCTTAGTCTCCATTGGTGTTGAAACAGAAGACGCCAAAAGGCGTACAACTCAAAAACAGCGCACTATCAGAGTATTGAGGGCTCAGGGTGAGCATTTATATTATGAGACCTCCTTTGCCAGTAACAAGATATAGGAATAGGTTTTACCCTTTTAACTGGCACAAAAACTGACACCTTTATTCAAGGCATCATGTTTGCAATAACCACAACACAAGCAGTCAAAATGCAAACAAAAAAGACAACTCTGATAATAATATGCACTGTCCTTGAATTTGATTGGTCCACACCCGAGACGGCTTTTCTTAGAGCTTAGTCTCCATTGGTGTTGAACCAGAAGACGCCAAAAGGCGTACAACGTAAAAACAGCGCACTATCAGAGTATTGAGGGCTCGGGGTGAGCATTTATATTATGAGACCTCCTTTGCCAGTAACAAGATATAGGAATAATAAAAACGTAATCTATAAAGGTGAGCATTCGCAAAGCCACCGAGCAGTGTGTACGTCGTGCGACTCACCTCCAAAGCCACAACCAGCAGCACAGAGGTGTTGATCGGCAACCAGGGAAACAGCCTCTCCAGGTGGCCACCCTTGCTAATGAGTGCACAGTTCACCACAATGGCGATCACACCCATTGCCTCCATGATATTCTGGTTGTACGACAACAAAAGACATGCTCACGATGACGGGGAACAGAAACAGGTGCATAGCAGTCAAGTCAAAGTGTCTTCCTGCTTAAATGAGCAACAGTACTCGTCGACAGTCATGGTCCTAAGCCAATAGGAGGACATGCCAGATTTTCCAGCAATGTGTTCCTGAATTTTGGATTAATATTAAATATCCCAAAAATGTGAATGATTCAAACCATTTTCGTGCATTGATTTGAAGGTGTTATCATCACAGCACGGGTACATTTTGAATCACAACGTAATGTAAATGATTATATGAAACTAATAAAAATGCCAAAATAGTCCTAGAATTATCCTTAATCTTTTTATTCGAAACATAATTCATGCCTAACAGCCACCTGATATACTGTATTTGCTTGATAGTTACAGATCGGCAAACCACACACTGTATTTTAGGATATTTTTCCATTGCTTCAACTGCCGCGCCAGGAAATCGAACGTCGACCTCCAGTGTGCCAACTGCTAACGCCCATTGTACCACAGCGGCAACTCATTTCTTTAAGGTTAGATCGCGTTATTTATAAATGTGTCATAACCCTCCACCACCCGACACGGCCAATCAGTAAAAAAGTGTCACGTTGACAAAAGACAAATAGTTCACTACTTTAGCCCACCAGTGTGTTGAAGAGTGAATCCACAACATTTACAATTTTTGAGTATGACGTTTCGCTGGTAATTACATCCAGCATCATTGGGCAATTTGCCAGAATGGTGAAGCCCTCACTTGCTCCCGGTCTTAAATAGAGCAGCAGGGTGCCGTCATCATTTAACCCATTCAGGTGCAGTGATTTGAGGCGGAGGGGGGGGTATTGTAATTATATAATAGATTAGTAATCAGCCAATTGTTATGATTAGTAATGAGTTGTAGATTAGTAATTAGTTGTGATGTGCTTTAAATCAAAAGTTGTGATGTGTATTATTTAATAACTGAACCCAATTACTATAGCCACTCAAGTGCAGAAATTAAAGGTGACGCGGGGTGGGGGGGTATTGTTATTATATAATAGATTAGTAATCAGTTAATTATTATGATTAGTAATCAGTTGTAGATTAGTAATTAGTTGTAATGCGTGTTATTCAATAACTTAACCCAATTATTATACCCAAGCAAGTGCAGGGATCAGAAGGGGGAGGAGGGGGGAGATGGTTATTGTAATTATATACGTTAGTAATCAGTTAATTAGCATGTGTTTCCCCTATAAGGAATTGTAATATGTATTATTTAATAATACGCTTCCAGGCCGCACTAAGCCTGTAGCTGTCAGAGCGATTAAAGTTATTTCTATTTCTCTTTATTTCAATGGATTCTCTAATTAGTCTTTGCCAGTAATAATTCGTTTTACACAACACTTCAACGTTATCAAAATCAATTGAGTGTCCTTGTTGGCACGCATGTTCTGCCACTGCCGACAGTTGTGTTTGAGATAATTTAATATTTATTTGGTGTTCTTTTAGTCTTACGCTGATGTTACGTCCCATCTGTCCAATATAGCATCTGCCACATAAACAATTAATCCGATATACACCTTCTGTTAATAATTTAGGTAATTCGTCTTTAGTGCAATATACTAGTTTTAGAATTTTGTGTACTGTACCAAATCTTACTTTAATGTTTTGCTTTTGCAAACACGGGCTAATTTGTCAGTTACTCCTGAGATATATGGTATTTTAATTGTTGTAACAATCTGATCGCTTTCAGCAGTGTTGCTTTGCGATTATAATTTGGCATTCAGTGCTCTGTTAATGTGAGCATTATTGTAGCCATTCTGTCGCAAATTGCCCGATGATGCTGGATGTAATTACCAGCGAAACGTCGTACTCAAAAATTGTAAATGTTGTGGATTCACTCTTCAACACAGCGGTGGGCTAAAGTTGTGAACTATTTGTCTTTTGTCAACGTGATACTTTTTACTGATTGGCCGTGTCAGGTGGTGGAGGGTTACGACACATTTATAAATAACGCGATCTAACCCAAAAACGTTTATTATGAATAATATTGGTCGTGAAAGCCTACGTGTTAAACTCATTTCTTTAGAACTGCTTTTTGTGTTGTTTGTTGTCCTTCCACCCGCACCTCCGATTTGCATGGTTGGCTACGTATGGTGCAATAAAAGTTCAATATACATACGCCCCCCACATATAATACCATACGTAAAATCTAGATTAAAAACTAATTTCTTTAGAACTGCTTGTTGTGGTTAGTTTGCTGTCCTTACCCCGCACCTCCGATTAGCACAGTTGGCTACGTATGATGTGAAAGGAGTTCAACATACATACAAAACAATGACTATCGCACGCTGCTCGTGGTGATGTCCACCAAGCCTGGACGAGCCACCGCACGAACGCACCTGCCACATGCCGATGTTCTTGACGCGCTGCCCGAACGGCCGCTGCAGGGCCGTGCACAGCTTGAACGCGTCCGTGCGGATCTCAGCGAGGTTGTTGAGAAACGCAAAGAGGGCCGTGAGCGGGAAAGTGGACGAGAACAGGGTGACGTAGCCAAACTGGATGAACATCTCGAGGTAATCCTGGAATGTGTCCTGCGCAAGCCACACACATCACACGTAATATAAAGGTGCAGTCCTGCAAGTGCTTGCTCATGCGACTACTAGCCCAAGTTGCTACATGACAAGAATCTTTAGATAGCCCCTCTGGTGGGTACTTGGCCTATTGTTCCACACTGGCCATGCATCTTGGAACATTGTGCCGATCGACTCACTGTGGAGTTAGTACACTGTAAAAATATAAACTTTTTTTATTGAACTATAACACTATAAACTATATTTTGATTTAAAGCTTTCATGACTGCAGGGATTCATATTCTTGGTTCTTTCGGTAAAGTCACGTAGAAGGGAAACAATAAAATAATAAAAATATAAAAAATAAAATTATCACGTTTCGACTGCAACACAAGCAATCATCATCAGGTGTGAAAAACCACAGCAAGAAAATTTTAAAAAAAGTGGCGGTTTTTTTAACGTTAGCACCACGGAGAGCGATTTGGCAGTTATTCAGATGGATGAGTCCATCTATGTTCGGAAAAGAGGAGGGGGGAGACGAAAATAATGGATGCGGTCTGAAAGCCACCGTAAGCGAGAACAATCAATTAAGACCCGAAATGGTTTATCAAATCCTTCTAATGATTGCTAAGCCAGAATCCATCTTCTCGGTTGAAATTGTCTCTGTGTTTGTATATGTGGATAGCCTCATGAACGAATCTCTCATGGTAGCCAGATGGCTTGCAGAGAACCTCTGTCTTAGAGAAGTCAATGTCATGTGAGCCTACTGAATTATAAAAGTGATCTGCCACGGCCGAGGTGTTGGTCCTACCGTGTTTTAGGTCTGCTTTGTGTTCATGGATGCGGTCTGAGACATGTCGTTTGGTTATAATTCAGTAGGCTCACATGACATTGACTTCTCCAAGACAGAGGTTCTCTGCAAGCCATCTGGCTACCATGAGAGATTCGTTCATGAGGCTATCCACATATACAAACACAGAGACAATTTCAACCGAGAAGATGGATTCTGGCCTAGCAATCATTGGAAGGATTTGATCAACCATTTCGGGTCTTAATTGATTGTTCACGCTTACGGTGGCTTTCAAACCGCATCCATTATTTTCGTCTCCCCTCTCCTCTTTTCCGAACATAGATGGACTCGTCCATCTGAATAACTGTCAAATCGCTCTCCGTGGTGCTAACGTAAAAAAAAACCCGCCACTTTTTTCAAATTTTCTTGCTGTGGTTTTCACACCTGATGATGATTGCTTGTGTTGCAGTCGAAACGTCGTGAGAATTTTATTGTTTTATATTTTATTATTTATTGTTTCCCTTCTACGTGACTTTACTGAAAGAACCAAGAATACTATAAACTATATTTTATTTTTCTAGATTAAGCTCAATTAACTATATAGCTCTTTTTCAGAAGCGATCTGGTCACAAATGATCGCTCAATGAAGTGACTTAAAATTCCACGTGACCTCGGACAGAGAGACACCGCAAACTCCAAATATACAGGCATCAGGGTCGGGATCGAAACAACAACCTCCTGTATACCAGGTTAGGTATTTGACATCTCGCCATCGGCAGTTGCAACTGCCGCCCCAGGAGATTAAACCGGTGACCTCTGGATGGCAAGTCCAATGTGCTAACTGCTAATGATTATACGGCAGCAGCATCCCCTACACAATATGGACGCACGTTGAATATCACACGTTACTCAAAGTATGTCCACCAATGGCGTCAGCCGGCACTGAATGTTGATGGGAATGAAATGTTGCGCATCATCGACATACTTAACATTCATACTCAATTTGCATTCCGAGACTCCAAAATAATCCATCAGATCTAGTTATCTCATAAACACCCCATTAAATCAGCTGCACTCACACTGCGAAGTGAATCATGAATAGGTCACCTGGTGTATGAGAACACGAGCAGACTTGGTCCGAATACAAGTGGTTAGGAATGTAAAGGCGATTCAAATGAGTACGACTATGCAGATAACTAGTCCTGAAATATCACGATGCACAATTCCTGTTTTTTACATGTGTAGTGACATAGCGTTGACTGTTGGACAGCAGCAGCAATTACAAGTGGGCACTTAGCACACACGCCGCTGATCATATACGCCGATGTGCCAGCAGGGCGGAGGAACTGGGACAAGGAACATGATAGACCTCATGTGGAAGCCCCTGGAACCCTCTAGAGGGTTCGAGAAGGGAGGCATGGTTAGGGCGGAGCCAAGCCGCACTGAGAGGAATATAAGCAGCGGAGAGCGAGAGCTCTGGGCTGCAGGTTCTGGGATTGGACTCGTCATGTCGTCGCTGTCGTCATCATTGCCCTCACCACTGCCGCCTTCGTCCGACCACCGTAGTTGGCTGTCTTGGTCGATGCCGTCGGTGCAACGAAGACAGGGAGTTGTCTGGGACGGGGCGTGCGGCAGCGGGATCATGTGTGAGAGAGAGATAGGGGGCTCGAGTGGTGGCGTGAGCTCGACAACAATGAATAAAGAGGGCAGAGCGGCGCCTTCTGCGACCACCTCGTCTCCAGCTGACTGTGTGTGCGACGCATGCCACCCGCATGCACAGACGACACTACATTTGGTGTCAGAAGTGGGATATAAAACCCACCAGTAGTGTTGTCGGGACGAGGACGGCGAGAAGGTCGACCCTCCGACAGCCCCGAGAGAGAAGCAGCACGTCGAGAAAAAGAGCAGCCGAGCGTCGACGGTTAGAGTGCTACGCCAGGTGGCGGGAGCGGGAGAGCGTCGACAGAGGGAGAAGCTGCACGTCGACGAAGAGAGAGCGATTGCGAGTCGTCAGAGAGAGAGTGACTGCATGTCCATGGAGAAAACGGGGGCTGCACGTCGATGGAGAGAGAGTGGAAGCCACACATCAACGAAGAGAGCGGCCGAGATTTCCCGTCGTCAAGCACCAACCAAGCAGCATGGTGGGAAACTGCCATGTGGAGAGGGGCGCAGGCCGACATGAGGCACGGACCCCAGGAGACGGCGTAGAGGAGAGCGGGGACAATGGAGCGGGAGCTGCCATCGTAGCGGGAGCAGGGGGCTCCAGACAGGGGACCACGCACATGGTGGGCCCCATTTGTCATCGGAGGAACTCCCGTGGCCGAGGGGCACCATTTTGAGGCGAGAGTGGGAGCGCGCTGAGGAGCGCGGTGAGTGAGGGAGCTGCAAGAGGCCGCTCCTGATCTGGCGCGGGAAAGCTCGCACAAGATTCCTCCAGAGGGAGCAGAGGGAGGACGAGATGCCCTACACCTTCCGGGCAGTGCTGCTGATGCTGGGACGGGAGGCATACCCACTCGTGGGTGAGGGGGCGCTCGACCTTCGTGTGGCAGAGAGATTGCGGGGGCTGGCGAGGAGATTGAGGCTTGCCCTGCCCTCCGCCGTCGGCATGGAAATTTCTTCCTCTATGGTGGCCAGAACCATCCAAGTCTATGAGGAGCGACAGCAGCGGGCAAGCTGGGAAGTCGCAGCATGGAATTTACAAGATATGGTGGTAGCGGTGGACAGCAGGGGGGCCCAGGGGTTGACACCCCCGCAGGAGGACCCACGTTGGGAGCAGCTCCCTCTGGCGTGGAGAGATGCGTCAAGGTTCTTCGTGTGTGGTCGGTCGGGCCACACTGCTGCGGACTGCCGGGGTGACGAGTGACATCGGGGGAGTCACCCGTGCTCGTTGGACCGCTGGCACAGTCAACTTAAGCCCCGTCGGACTGGGTCTCTGGGGCCTACCGAGACCATCAAGTGCGAGGCCTCAGGGACCGGAGCAGGCGGGCGATGCCAAGCGGCAAGGGACCACGCCCTTTGAGCCGAGGACTCTGCCTCCATCGTCTCTTGGCCCTCCCGGTTCCAGAGGTGCAGGACTCTGCTGGGACGGGGGTGACCGGCGCCATGGACCGGATCACGTGAGCTACGTCCCCGATTGGGGGGACTCTCCCTTACACTGAGAGGAGACTCAGGGGGTGAAGGGGTGTTGGGGTTAAGGGCCTGGGTAAAAGGGAAATGGAGGCGATGTGCCGATTCACGAGCTCGAGGTGCCGTGTGTGTATGGGGGGTCGCCGATTCGTGGATGGGGGGCTGTAAGGAAGTCACGAATTCGCGAATTCGAGAACGCCGTGTAAGAAGTGTTGGTTTGTTATTGGAGGGGCACCAGGGAGCAGTGGAACAGGTTGTTGATGCGGAAGATGTTGCGATGTTGCGGTTGTCACGGCATTGTGAGAGATTTTTCTGTTTGTTTTATTTTTTTCGTTGAGGTTCCTCGTTTTAAGGGTGTTGTCCTGCCTGCCGCCGGTGTTAACATCTGGGACGGCTGTTTTTTTAACGGGGGGGGGTGATGTAGTTACATAGCGCTGACTGCTGGACAGCAGCAGCAAATGCAGGTGGGCACTTAGCACACACGCCGCTAAGCATATACGCGGGTGTGCTGGCAGGGCGGAGGAACTGGGGCAAGGGTCATGATAGACCTCGTGTGGAAGCCCCTGGAACCCTCTCAAGCGTTCGAGAAGGGAGGCGCGGCTAGCGCGGAGCCAAGCTGCGCCGAGAGGAATATAAACAGCGGAGAGTGAGAGCTCTGGGCTGCCGGTTCTGGGATCGGACTCGTCTCATTGTCGCTGTCATCGTCATCGCTCTCGTCACTGCCGCTTTCGTCCAATCACAATAATTGGCTGTCCCGGTCGACACCGTTGGTGCAACGCGGACAGGGTCGTGTCTGGGACGGGCGCGCGGCAGCGGGGTCGTGTATTAGAGAGAGAGGGGGCCTAAGTGGTGGGGTGGGCTTGGCAACAACAGCAACGAATCAAGAGGGCAGAACGGTGCCTCCTGCGACCACCTTGTCTTCGGTTGACTGTGTGTGCGACGCATGCCACCCGCACGCCCAGACGACACTACACATGTAACATGTTTACATTTCCAGTAGAGTAAACGGGAATTATAATAGTGTACTGATGTCATTGTAATGTCATTGTAATCTTCGTTTTCAATATTACTTTCCACGTGATTTTTGTTTTTAACAATTACAATATCACACTGCAGGTGTAATACTGTAATTTTGAATTTTAAGCTCCATACGTCAGTGCCTGTACAATTTGAATCCTCCTCACGTTTGCACTAAAAAAGGCAGCCCGGCGCACTCTCATTTGGTTAAAATACATTCCGAACCTCTATGCAGATATTTTCAATTCAAAGAATCGTAATTTTGTTAATTCAGAAACAGTTTTCAATTGCACCAATTTGAAAGCAACTACAATACTACACTCGGTGAAAGTGATCTGTGCAACGATGGGTTTTTATAAATTATTACAGATGTGGCAAATTTATAATAAGTAATTTTTGGTTATATCGCGTTAATATAAATGTGTCCTTAACCCATCACCATCTGACTCAGCCAATGAGTAAGGGTTGTGACGTAAACAAAATGTGCCAATTAGTTACTACTTCAGTACACCGGTGTGTTGGAGAGTAAACCCACAACAATTACAATTTGAGTATGACGTTTCCCTGGTAATTACAACAATACTCTTTGGTTCTTTCGGTAAAGTCACGTAAGTATAAAATTAGATTAAATTACAACCAACTTCATTGGACGAATTGTCCTCCCGTGACCGGTCTTAAAATAGGTGATGTTATGACTGGTGGGTTAACGACACATTTATATTTACGCGATCTAAACCAAAATAACTTATATCATGAATAACATTGTCACGAAATTCTACTTGTTAAATAGACGTAGCAAACCGAAAGTCGGCACACCGTACCACCACCGCCTTACCTCATACTTCTTCATGCAGCTCTCAATCACCACCTGGGACACCGGTGGAGCCTTTCCGTGCAGCTCCATCTCCGCCAGTAGCTTCACCTCTTGCTCAATCTCCACGGTCCGTATCAGCTGTATCTCCTCCATGCGTTCCTTCTCCCCCATCAGCTCTGCCGCTGCTGTTAGCTGCTCCCCAGCCGCTGTCCCCTCACCAGGATCTTCACGGCTCAAGGGTACTGCCCCTGCCCCCTTCGACCTGGTCCAATTCACGAGCTGCGCTGTGCCTATTTTGATCTCACTTTGCGTGCTCACATCTGAGGTGGAGCCATTTGTTTTGTTGTCGTCGTTGCCATCGTCGATATTATCGTTGTCGGAGAGCATGTTCACGCGGGGGACAGCTCTTCCAATGCCACCCGCGCCCTGTGATGCCTCACTACAACCACCGGGTTCTGAAACATACACAACGGCACTGTTGAAAGCATATCCCTTTGACGTACATTTAATCACTGGTTTTGTCCACCACTTTTCTTTCACTTTTGTGCAACTAATAATGATGCTATAGTAATGTGCCTTCAACGTGCTGTGTGCTTTCACGTGTCACTGATGAGGGTCATAAAGCCAGATGAAGGCTGCTTAAGGATGATTAGGGTACAGTATTAATGCACAAGCCTCATCAGCAGAATATGAAATACATTAATTTGAAGGGCTAATGTAAAGCCTTATTTTGTGACTAACATCCCTTAACGAGGTGCCAGGCATCGAGATGCATTATCTCTTGTGATTGACATGTTTTATTCAATCAAGTGAGAGCCCATTTAGATTTATTTTCTTGGAAATGATTTAATTTTAAACCTATTTGAGATGCTCTGCTTCTTTTGCGAGATCTGTGAATCAAGTGAGAGTCCTTTTGTATTCATAATCTTCCCGTTTTCGGGGGGAAACTTTGATGTGTGCAGTCCAGAGCATTTGTTTAAAAAAACACGATGTGCTAAATTATAGGTGTTTCGTGAGGAAAATTGCAAGGGGAGTTATAGTATACTGAAACAGCACATGTGATAGGCTACTATTTTGGAAAATGGTCCTTCTTGAGAAGATAAAAAAATCAGGACTTGTAAGTGGAAGACCACTTTCTGCACTGTAGTGAAATGTAACAGTCCACAGGCATGAAGGGTAATTTAACACGAGGAGCTATTTTGTACTAAAATAACCTTTAAAAGAAAGCAAAATAAACATATCAAATGTAAACCAAAATAAAAGTCTGTTATGCACTTATACGTCAGTGAGGTAAATTCTGGTCGTACGTTTAACATTTTCTACACTGTGGATTCAGAATATGTAAAACTCAGATCCCACTTTTCACTTGGCCGGCTATATTACCAAGTACAGGTGGGAGGGATAGCACAGTGGCTCACACACTACACAACAAACCTTGTTACCCGAGTTCGATTCCCGGCCACGGCTAAAATACACGTAGCCCATTGGATTCCTCATTTCAAAAAAAATATATAAAATATAAACAAAAATATTCTGATTCTGATACCTGAACCAGCCTTGACCCACCCACGCAGATGACCAACCTGCACTGAATCAGCGTGGTGAAGTGAGATCAAACTAGGGCTGAACGATTAATCGATTTCAAATCGAAATCGCAATTTGAAACAATGCGATAGGCAAATCGCAAAGGCTGCGATTTTTTGCGATTTGGAAAGTCCTGTTACTTTCTTATTGGAATCGTTTTTTTATTATTATAACTTTATTTATTTAACATAACAATTATTTTATGTTTGATTGTTCTATTTCAATGAAAACATTTTAATAAAACATGTTGGAAGCAATTCATGTCTTGCATTACAATATATAGAGAAGTTCATATTTTGATGGTATCATGTGGTAATGCTCCATCACATGTTTAAAATCTATTACGCAGTGAATATTGAACTGAAGCTTGACTTTAAAAAATTTAATCGCAAATCAAATTGCAATATCTGTCAGAAAAATCGCAATTAGATATTTTCTCAAAATCGTTCAGCCCTAGGTCAAACAACCTCCGTGAATGAGGCCTCCATACAGTAGCGAAGGGACGAAGTGATTAATAACATGATTATTGTCCGTTACTTTGTTTACGATGGCGCAGAGTCACTGACTGACTTCACAAGGCGAGGCTCACCGGTCTCGTGATTGCAGTACGCATGCGGTGGTGCTGCTGGCGTGGGGAGAATGGGTAGAGGGTTGTCGGGCCGGCAGCGTAGGGCAGCCAGGGTGGCGCTGCCCAAAGCGTGAAGAGCAGGCTTGAGTTGCCGCACGGTGATCCAGGGCATGCCCACGAGCTGCCAGGCGCGGCACACGCGGGTACGCAGTGCAGAAACCGGGCAGCCGTAGGTAGCTTTATAAACTACTAGTGGGAAATACCCGGCGTTTCCCGGGGGAAAAATATATTTCAAAACTTCTCTTAAAAACATAACATATACATACACAAATACGAAGCTATTGTGAAAGCCCGGCGTTCTGTTTGTCTGTCCATTTGTCTGTCAACAAAATTATAAGAAGCTTGCAGAAGTCCAAAAAGTTATAGAAATTGGGGGGGGGTAAAAAGTTGATCTAAAAGGTTTCGAAAATTGTCGACCCCCCCCCTCCAAAAATATTTTTACCTCCGCGTAGGCATATATACCCACACGCCCTACATACAATAGAATGAGTAGTATCTAGTGACTCTATAGTAGTGTAGAGGAGTATTGTGAGTAACCATGAGGGGGACCCCGTGACGGAGGCGGGGTCGTTGTGGGGAGCCAGGGTAAGGATCGGCTGGAAGGAGCCGACGGGATAGCCGAGGGTAAGGTCCTGTAGTGTGGAGTAAAGGATCGGCTGGAAGAGGATCTCTCTCTCCTCGTCGCGGGGCGGTATTGGCTGAACCTCCGCTCCGGGCAGACGAGCGAGAGAGCCCAACGGGATAGCCGAGGAAAGAACCAAATAGTGATCGGGGTTCAGGGTAAGGACCGAGATAGAGAGCACCTACACTGGTGTGAGCATAGAGTGTGAAGTGTAACAGTAATTTAATAAAACGGCAAACACCCTTATAGTTTTGACTTAAAGTTTTCGTGACTGCAGGAATTCATATTCTTGGGTCTTTCGGTAAAGTCACATCGATAAGCTCAAAGAAAATAACAAAAATTAACCTATCTACGTGACCCAAGAATATGTAGCCCTTATAGTGTTCCTAGTCTCGGCGTGGTTCTAACAGTAATATCTGACTCTACAATTGTATCTGGCTCTACAGTAGTATCTACTGATTCTACAGTAGTATCTACAGATTCTACAGTAGTATCTACTGACTGTACAGTAGTATTTACTGAGCCCAGCAGTAGTTACTGACTGTATAGTAGTATCTACTGACCGTAGTAGTATCTACTGACCATAGGAGTAACTACTAACCTTATTAGTATCTACTGGCCCTTCAATAGTATCTACCGACTCTATATTAGTAATTAATAACTCTGTAGTAGTATCTGCTGACCCAATAGCAGTATCTACTGACTCTATAGTTGTTACTACTGACTCTGCAGCAGTATATACTGACTGTAGTGGAATCTACTGACTGTAGTATTATGTACGGACTATAGTAGTATCTACTGACTCTACGGTAGTATCTACCGATTCGATAGTAGTATCTACCGACTCTATAGCAGTAACTACTGACTCTGCAGGAGTATCTAATGACTATAGTAGTACCTACTGAATCTATAGTAGTGTAAGGGATGTCTGGGGAAGGATTCCCACCAAAAGGAGGGGGACGGTGACAGGGGAAGGGGGAGGAGCAGGCGAGAAGATATAAGAGAGGGAACGGGCGGGAAAAGAGGGAGAATTGGCGGGAACCGGATCGAGGAAGCTGGGGACGAGTGTGGACTGAAGGAAGGAATAAAAGATTAACCCCCTGCAACCTTGTTTCGGCTCTCCTTTACATCTGGTGGCAGCGGTGGGATCGACAATGGCTACAAGGAAGAACCTCGGCGAAAGAGAGCCAACAGAAGAGGAAGCAGGGGCCGGAGATCCTCTACGTCCAGGGCAACAAGGAGGCCTGCTACCAGGAGCAGCAGCAGGAGGCCCGGACCCCATGGAGGACCCCATGGAGGACCCCATGGAGGACCGCATGGCCCTCGTGGAGAGGGCACTCCAGGAGCTACTGCGTCGGCTCCCTATGGGGGGCCCACCAGTGCCGGGACCCCCTCTTCCACTCGTACTACAGGAGGAGGCTCCACGGGACCCGGAGGCCAACCAGCTAGGCAGGCATGAGCCGCAAGCAGCCCCGTCATGCCAGCCACCGCTCCCGCCAAAGCCGCCAGGGCTAAACACCGAACGGGGGGAGCAGGTGGCAGGACGCGCACGCCGGCTGGAGCCCGTCGAGAAATTCGTGGCCGAAGGAGGGGATTGGGAGGCGTTCGTCCGCCGATTCGAATCTGCCTTCCATGCTCTTGAGTGGTCAGACGAAGAGGCGCTACGAGCGTTGCCATCCGTTCTGGACGACGATGCGCTCGCCTCTTACACCTCCCTTCCCATGCACAGCAAGACCACGCTACAGGCGGCCTACGAGGTCTACAGCCCAGCTGAGGGCGCCTTTGGACGGTTCCAGGACTGCCAGCGGGGGGCTAGAGAGTCCCCTTTAGCCTACAGGGGTGCGCTGCTCGTGTTGGCGAAGAGGGCTTTCCCTCGCCTGGCTGATGAGGCACTTGAGAACCTCGTGCTCGAGCACCTCATCGCCAACGCTTCCCGCGCCGGCGTCATAATGTCAGTGGTGACGCCAGAGGAACATACCTCGCTGTGGGCCGCCCGGATCCTACAAGCCCATGAACAGGTCATGGGCCGGGCACTACTCGTGGGCCAGGTGGCTGGCGCGGCGGGGTAAAGCAGCTGGGCCGTTACCGCGGCGCTACCAGGGCCAGCGACGCCAATCGCCGAACCTGCACCGTCGCCGCAGGCTGCCTATGTGGCAACTGGGAACGGACCTCCAGCATCTGAGCCGGAGCCATCGCTGCAGGAGGTCTACGTGGCGATCCGAGGGCTGGGGGAGCAGAGAGACCAGGAGCGCGACCAGCCGCCGTGCCACTGGCAGCCGCCTCTACGACACCGTGCCGAGCCACCCGACGAAACGCCCGTGGGTCTGCCACCGTTGCCGTCGAGAGGGGCACGTGGCGAGGGGGTGCCGCACGGAGCCGGAGGCAGCCAACTCCACCTGGAACCCACCGGGGCCGAACACCGACAGGAACCAAGCGGGTGACGCCGTCCCTCACCGGTGGCCTCCTCGGGGTGGACACCATCGGTGTCGGGTCCCGGGCTCCACCATCCTGGTCGGGGGAAGGGGATCGCGCCGGGGCCGGGAATCACGACGGGGCTCGCGACGGGGATTGAGTTACGGGCGGACGTGACGTCGCGGCCGGAAGTGACGTCGCGGCCAGAATTGACATCGCGGCTGGGGGTTGGGGTCGCGGCCGGGGGTGGGGTCGCGGCCGGAAGTGACGTCGCAGCCGGGGGTGATGTCGCCACGCGGGGTGACATCGCTATTTACCTGCAATGCCGGTTAGTTGCCAGGGGCAATGGCCCTGGGGCTGAGGCAGCACACGCAATCGCCGGTGCGCCGTGGAGCAGTTTCGCGCACCGCCTTACCCTCGCAATGCGGCGGACCGAGACAGGACTGGGGGGGCCCACATAAAAGGGACCCACGCCCCCACGACAAAGGAAGGGGAGGGGGGAAGGGCTCATGGGAAGGCCCACCCCTAATCCCCACCCCCCACTACAATGGGAGGGCCGCCCCACACCACAAGGGGGGCCCATCCCACGTCACAAAGCGGGGTACTTCGCACCACATGGGGAGCCCAGCCCGCACCCCAGTGGGGAGCCCACCCCACGTAACAAGGGCGCATTAAACCTGCTGCGACACACCCTAAAGGAGGGAACCACATCTTCGGCCCGTTCACACCCATCCCGTCACCTCGCCATACACCGCAGGATAGTGAGCCGCTGCCTGGTCAGTGGCTGGACTCAGACACACAATGGAGGAAGCTGGCAAGGCGGATGGTAGCGGCCGCGTCGGGAACCTTGGTCCTGGCTGGTGCGATCGCGGGAGTGTCGGCATACATACTGGTTGACACAGGGGTATCGGCCACAATCATCTCGAGCACCATGCACGAGATGCTGCCGGATAAAAACCGGCCTTTAGTCCCCATCAAGACGGTGTTCGTCGCAGCAAATGGAGGGAGTATGGGCTTCCTGGGCCAGGTTGAAGCCCCGATACAGATTGGGCAGCTTTCAGTAGCAGGACCCATCCTTGTTTTTGCAACGCTGCCCGTGCCCTGCCTGTTGGGAACGGACTTTCTGAGGCAAATGCCTATGAAAATCGATCTGGCCAACGGGCAGGTGTAAGTCCAGGGAACACATCTCCATTTCCTGAAGGCAGAGGGGGCTCTGGTCAGTGAGTCTGTCTCCATTCCCCTGGCAGCCCAGATGCTGATACCGCTGTGATATCGGTCCTCCCTCATGACAGCCCGGCCGGCCTCACCCATCCTGGTGTCTCTGGCACCAGCCGCCATGGATCGCCACGCACTGGTAGAGGCTGAAACTATTGTCCATTCAAGTGCTAAACACCTCCAACAGAGCAGTGACGGTGCAGGCGGGAACGGTTCTGGCCCACGTTAGTCGCTTGTCACTAGGAGCCCCCGGGATGGGGCCAGAGCTTGTGGGAAGTGTCAGCCAGTCTGAGGACAGAGGGGACGACTCGTAGATGGACCAGCTGGCGGGGCCTGAGCCGGATTTGCCGCCTGACCAGATTACCAGCTGCACTCATTCCTGCAGGAGTTCTTCGACGTGTTCAGCCGGGGACTGTTCGACCTAGGACGTACGCATCTGTTGCAGCACCACATCAACACGGGGGACGCCGCACCCCTGCGCCAAAACACATATAGAATGAGCCCAATGGAAAAAGGGCACATTCAACAAGCGGTGCAGGAGATGCTGCGGGCCGACATCATTTCCCCATCCTTGAGTCCCTGGGGGGCAGGCGGGTCACTGAGATTCTGCGTGGACTTCTGCCGCCTCAATGCCATCACGCTTGCCAACGCATATCCCCTACCACGTATCTACGACTCACTTGATGCACTGGCAGGAGCAAGATTTCTCAGTACGCTGGATTTATTGTCCGGTTTCTGGCAGGTCCCACTGGATGCGAACTCCCGGACTCGGGTCTTGGAGGCAATACTATTAAGGTTTGTCACGTGAACAAGACGTGCCGATTAGTTACTTCACCACACCGGTGTGCTAGACAGCAAAGCCACAATATTTGAGTACGATAATATAGAATACATTTTACATGTTGCCGCTGTGTAAACAAAACCATGGATATTCTTGCCTTGATCGATACAAATAGTGCCTTCCAAGAGAATGTGGCATTGTGTCCACCTACCAGAAGGTTATATCCCCGCAGGAAGTTGATGAGGAGGTGGAGCTTGAGGAGGAGGTGCGGCAGCAGCGCCGTCTTCACCTTGCGAGTGGCCTCAGTCACCAGCGAGAATGCCGCCAGTTGCTGCGGACAGGAAAAAAACTAAAACTAAACATTTTTATTTTACCACTTAAGGCCCACTGAGCTATACAGTATAGCTCTTTTTTGGAAGGGACCTGGCCACAAATGATAGATCAACGAAGTAGGTTTATTATGTGGAAATTTATAGCAGCCAAATACTCTAAACGCATGTTGATTCTAAATGTGGAGGGAAAAACCCGGGGACCTGGAGAAAAATCCATGCGACTACAGGAAAAGAGACAGACGCAAACTCCAACTATACAGCAAGCGTAAGGGTCGAGATTGAACCCACAACCTCCTGCATACAAGACGAGGTTGTTAACATCTCCTAGCGACCATGGTATCAGTGCCCTGAGCAGTGATTTTCAAGGCTCTGACACTCTCGAACACGGCCGTGCAGACTCCAGTGTGGGCTGTGAGTTATTTCAACTCTATAAACAGTTCAACGCCTGTGACCTAATTGACCAGGAACGCGCCCGTGCCCATCAGATCTCGGAAGCTAAGCAGGTCGGAGCCTGCTCGTATGGGTGACTCTCATGCACGAGCAACCTGTCATAGGGTTGCACGGCTATGTTGTGGGCAGAACAATTCATTGTTGTACCGTACTTCTGTGCTCTCCATCTTGAGCAACCCGCAAGGTCTGTGGTCTTGTATAGGAGGATACCTGCTATGTATAATTCCAATTGGGTAATTTGCGGGTTATTTTTCTAATTTGTACCAAGACGCCCACTGTGAAGCAGAGGATGCGTGTGTTTTTAATGGTTAATATACCCACCATATTAATCAGGGCGGCCGCTGCAACAAGCGGCGAAACTCGCTTAAGTTAGGCCGTGGCACCGCCCCAGTGTCAACTCCATGCTCTGATACAGGCATTGGCTCTCTGAGCCCACCTCATTATCCCAACCGAATTACAATACTGTATACCATATTTAAAAGCAAGAATGGCAATTCTGGGTGGTCCCCCTGCCTTGTTTGATGCAGCTGGCTATGCTCTCCATCTTGCGACCCCCTGCTTTTCATAGCCGGTTTAGCCTATGTCGACGGTGTGTGCACACGACACAGCGTGATATAAGGGTCCTGCGTGATGCCTCTATAAAAAATAAAAAGTGACTATGATAGGTTATAAGGGTAACTGCAATGTAGCAAATATTTCCGCCAGCTTCTGCTAAGTGGCAAAGTTTATCACCTCCTTGAGCCTCTGCATGTCACCCAGGTAGAAGGCAATGTAGAAGAGGCTTGAGAAAGAATTCACAAACTGGAACTGGGCGAGAACAACAGACATTGCGTGAGTAGCAGTTTTTATTGACACCAGGTATAGACTGATAAATCAATCTTGATTTCACCAATTCAACAAATACATTATGAAACATATTTCAATTGCAATAAATACAAATTAACTCTAAGTATCGCCAAAAGAACATACACGTACGAACCAAGAAACATACCCATTAATCTATGTATGTATTGATGTTGAACTTCTTTCGCACCGTACATAGCCAACTTTGCTGATTGGAGGTGCGTATGATGCCGCAGGGACACTGTCCACCCTCACCAAGTCGAAGCACAAAGCGAACTCACCGAGACGAGCTTGATTATCAGTTGCTTCTCATAAGCTTTCTGCAGCCTGTAATTTTCTGCGAAATTTGAGAGAAAAAAATGGGTTGATGGTTTGAATGTTGTGCACATGTTTGTGCATGTGTACCAGGTGCATGTCATTATATACTCGGCAGGCACTTGAAAAGTTCACGATCTGCTATATATTTTAATAATGACGATGATTGTCACCACGGAAACAGTTATGATCGCACAGTTACCATAGACACAGTAGTGATGTCACAGTCACCCCAGGAAGAGGCGCTTATCACCTTGATGTACCAAATATAAATTGTTGTCCACGGCACGTGGGGTGCACTGCGCTGTACCGAGATGGTTGAGCCAGAACGCGATCCTCTTGTAGACCTCATCAAGGAGGGAAACCACCAGGGCCAGCAGCAGCTTCGGCAGGAACTGCATCAGGGGCGTCACGCCGTCAATGGCCTTCACGTACTCCTGTCGCGACCACGACCATGCATGCACAGCACATGTCACAGTCTAGAAAATTCGATCGGAGTAATATCATAAGTCAACAGTTTTTGCAACACATTTATAGTAGCCCCAGTGCAGCATTTGGTCCAAAAGTGGCTCTGTGTACCAGTCAGCAGACCACCAAACAAACACCAACCTTCCCTGGTTCTTTCGGTAAAGTCACGTAGAATGAGAATAAAATAATACATTGATAAAATAAAATAACACAATAATATTCTCACGACGTTTCGGCCACAACACAAGCGGCCTTCATCATTCTACGTGACTTTACCGAAAGAACCAAAGAAGATGAATCATTGCAGTCACAAAAGCTTTAAATCGAAACCAACCTTCCCTTCATGAGCTCCCACACAATAACATTTTGTAGGCTCCTGGTTCTAAAACATTGTTGGATCCTCCCTTTGACCTAACTATTCATTCTGGCCTCGCTGAGAGGGAGGGTTCCATGGAGGTCATTTTTTATCCACCATAGGACATGACTCACCTGTAACTCAAAGCATGCAAACATGGCCAGAAAGACGGCCGACAGCGACAAGAGGCACAAGGGGATGCTGACGAGGTAGCGGAACATGCGTCGTCTCCACGGAGGGTAGTAGAACTCCTCGAGGCCTGTGATGGGGCTTATGCGCCTCCTGCCCTGTTAGCATATCACAAAGACAAAGATCCCCCATATAGCCATAACATACTTTTTTCGGACAAGTCCGGTTAGAGAGCACCTATGAAGGCTTGTACGGCACGCTAAGAGGTGGGTGGCCAGCACCATGCCCGGCTGCCGTTGTCTCCCTGGTGACAATGTTTACACATTGCACCAGGTACTGATTTTAGGCTGAGTCGACCTAGGAAAGACCCCAGGAATGGTTTAGATCACTGTCACTGGTGTTGGCCACGAGTGAGACTCCAACTCGGGTGGGCAAGTTCATAGCGTGGACTGCTAACCGCATTCCATTCCGTGTGCATGTGTAATGACAATGGAGCCTGCATGCGGTGTGAGGGGACTAGTGGCCACAGGAGGTAATGACAGGGAAGTCAGCTTACAGTACGAATGCACTAGTGGCCACGGGAGGTAATTACAGGGGTATCAGTTGTGGCTGCGAAGGAACTGGTGGCTACGGGAATGTTTGAGAATGGAGCATGGTCAGGTGACGGAAGAGGACGCTAGAGTCTGCTGGTAGAGCGAGCGTCCAGAGTCAGCGAGAATGATCGAGAAGGGGGGCGTGGCCTCGTGTTAATATATAAGGGAGATGCGTGGGAGACTCAGGGCTGTTGCAGTGGGATCTCTGCCTGATGTCAAGTGAACGTGTCTTCATTAAAGTGCCATCTCAAGAGAAGTGTATCAAGTCATCATTACGTATGCATGGATCATATATTCCGCAACAGGGAGGACTTCCTATCGCCCATTATTTTCCATGAAAAAAAGGAACTGCGCAACAAATTAATCGACCTTTCCACATTTAGTCGCAGACCAGAAGGTGTTTATTTTGTGTGGCTACTCCTTTCGTCCGCAATTTTCCGTATCCGTGAACGGCACCACCCAACTGCTGATGATGCTGATGATGACGATGATGTTGTTGTTGTGCAGGTTGCCTTACACAAAACTGAGGGCGAGGCTCCTCCAGCAGGCCGGGCAGCGAGTCGAGGGTCCCCCACCTGTGAGAGGGATCCCACAGGGAGCCGGCGTCATTCCCACTCACACGACGCCCTGCCACGTCACACTTCATCACAAGACTTTGATTTGTTAACGAAGTACCATTGAAGTAATTTTACTCATCACAACTTTTATGCCATTTGTCAATTCTGCTGCTGGATGAACTCATGTATGTATGTTGAGTTTCTGTCACCATATGTAGCCATCTGCGCTAATTGGAGGTGTGTGGGGGGGGGGGGGGGATAACACACTAAACACAAAAAAACAAGAAAGAAGTATTCAATCTTGATTAAAAAAAGAACGAACTCCATATCGGCCATGGGAATTCTGTGACCATACTCCCACCATGGTGACCTTTGAAGGTTGGCGATGTGAAAGCCCTGGCCTGTTTCGGATACAACTAACGGTAGCTGTGGCCAGGAATCAAATCAGGTCACTGAGTTTGCAGTGCAATGCAATGCTAACCACTGTGCCACTGCCCCACATTACTAAAATATGAATGCGTGGAAGAATGTTGAGAATTTGTGTGGATTTTAACTATTATGGACCTTCAACTGCGAGAGTCAAACAAGCTATCAAAAATCATGACACCTCCTTTGCCAGTACCAAAATATGAGAATAAGTGTTTTCCCCTTTTATCTGGCAACAAAACAGGTGTTAAGATGTTAAAACACCAAACTGAAACCTTTTACAAGGAATCATGTCTGCATTAACCACAATACTTGTGGTTAAAATGCAAACAAAAACATACTCTCATAATATATGCATTGTCTTTGAAACTGATTGGTCCACACCAGAGACAGCTTTCTTTTGAGCCTCGTCTCAAACGGTGTTAGTCCAGAGGATGCTAAAAGGCGTTGAATTTAAATTGAAATAATCGGTAACTTGTTGTTTACACTACTATAGTTATTTATCCTATAACTTCCTATGGAGTTCTCACAACCTAGCCACTCCCTTTCCTCTCCAGGCTTAACTGCCCTCCAACTGCTATTTCACCCCTTTGTATATTTACTCTCCTACTTCCTACATTGCCTCAACTGACAGCCTCGTGGCTGCCCGTTAACTGCCCCAACTGACAGCCTCATGGCTGCCCGTTAACTACCCCAACTGACAGCCTCATGGCTGCCCGTTAACTGCCCCAACTGACAGCTCTCGTGGCTGCCCGTTAACTGCCCCAACTGACAGCTCCCGCGGCTGCCCACTAACTGCCCCAACTGCCAGCCTCATGGCTGCCCGTTAACTGCCCCAACTGACAGCTCCCGCGGCTGCCCACTAACTGCCCCAACTGACAGCCTCATGGCTGCCCATTAACTGCCCCAACTGACAGCCTCATGGCTGCCCGTTAACTGCCCCAACTGACAGCTCTCGTGGCTGCCCGTTAACTGCCCCAACTGGCAGCCTCATGGCTGCCCACTAACTGCCCCAACTGACAGCCTCATGGCTGCCCATTAACTGCCCCAACTGACAGCCTCATGGCTGCCCGTTAACTGCCCCAACTGACAGCTCTCGTGGCTGCCCGTTAACTGCCCCAACTGACAGTTCTCGTGGCTGCCTGTTAACTGCCCCAACTGACAGCTCCCGCGGCTGTCCGTTAACTGCCCCAACTGACAGCCTCATGGCTGTCCGTTAACTGCCCCAACTGACAGCCATCGTGGCTGCCCATTACCTGCCCCAACTGACAGCTCCCGCGGCTGTCCGTTAACTGCCCCAACTGACAGCCTCATGGCTGCCCGTTAAGTGCCCCAACTGACAGCCTCGTGGCTGCCCGTTAACTGCCCCAACTGACAGCCTCGTGCCTGCCCGTTAACTGCCCCAACTGACAGCTCTCGTGGCTGTCCGTTACCTGCCCCAACTGACAGCTCCCGAAGCTGTCCACCGATCCCACTGCACCTCACACCCACGAACTTTAGGAACGGGGCTCTGTCCACTCAGTGGTGCTGATAACATTCACATTCAGCAACATAAGTCGAGAGCCTCATCCCCGAAGTTCCCTGCCGTGGCGTCACCTCCCTCCATAACACAGCCCCTCAATATCCCCATACATAAGTAGTGCTTCACTACACATACATAACGAAAAGAAACAACGTTAATCGACACATTTCTGCATCATTACACGCCGGTAAGGCAGTCATATTTACAGCAGGTGTAATAACGATGAAGCGGAGGTTCTCGCAGAAGAGATCTCAATTTATATATTCCAGAGGATGGCGCATCGCTTCGCTGACCCCACATCAAGTGGAGGAGTGGAGCGTGCGTTCAGGGGTGCTCAAACTACCTATTTCAACGGGGGTATGCAAGATACGGATATTTTTAACCCGTATACAATAAATAGTATGTAGGCTATAACACTCTATATATGTTATTTTAGTTGCACCGTGAATGGGGTTTAGAGGAAGACAGTCTCACAGTGACAATATTAATTTTAAAAAATACTGAAAGGTACAATATTCACAATTAAGTTATCATGCATCATGCCGTCCCCATCGGTCTAAGATTCTCTCAAAGGCGGTGGATCGCGTAACTTTATGCTGCTCTGTTGATATGATAGCCAGGCGCGTTAGTTGGGCTTGGTGCATGGTAAACCACAGGTATTTTTTTATGAACCTTTTTTAAAATTACTTTTCTTAACGTGTTTGTACTCGTTAATCTGTTGATTCGGGGCCCCCTTGTGGCCGACTGGAGCCCTTATGCATCGCCACATAACACTGCCCCCCCCCCACCCCGCAGTTGCCCCCCTGCGTGAGTTCACCTGTGAGAGAGCTCGGCACTGTGTCTCTTCCAGCCCTCCAGGAACAGCGTCGCCCACACCACATTGAACAGCGAGAATGCCACGCAGCTGATGTCCTGGCTCGTCTGCGGCACACGCAAGCGGAGTCCCACACCCGGTTTCCCATCTGCCATGACGAGGACGTTGCCGCCATGGGGTGTGAGCACATTGGAGTTGCAATCCAGAAAACGACGGTTTGATTCGACCTCCCGGCACGTCACTTGAAACAGTGGTGCAAGGTTCTTAGATCCTCCCGCATATGTCCACTCAGCAGGATACGGTAAGTGGGTGCACGACAGTCTATCGGCGGCAGGTCGCCTGTGGTGGGGTAAAGTGTGGCTACTCCCACCTCTTCCAAGGTGAATGGCCCAACGTAGAAGAGTAGGCCAAAGTATCCTCTAGAGAGGCTCTCTAGAGTGTCCACTAGCGGAGGACCTTCCGCCATCAGTGGCATGAGCGAGCAATGGGAGGGCTGCGAATTTACCTTTTAGCTGCACTTTTAGTCCATGAGCTCAAACACCAAATATTTCACTTGTAGGTACCACCAGATGTGGCTTACCTTTTGCCCTTCTAATTTATTCATGCGGTCTGGAACGCCAATACGCCGATGACTAAATTATATAAAATTTATAACACCTGCATTTATATGGTGCTTAAATGCCTCAGAAACCCAAACTGCCTCAAATAACATCGAATATCAAATATTGGAAGGACACCTCCAGTCGCAGATGTCCCTGTGCAGCACAAGCTAACTCGGCAACAATCTGCCAGTGAGCGCTCGTCTGCCGGTAGCAGGGCATGACTGTGATGTGTTATCCATAATTAGCACTTTCATGTAGGGGCACAGATCAGAGCTCTGTTTGTACACAAAGTATGTTCGCATTCACATTAAGCACAGATTCTATTCACAAATCACCTGGTCGGAGGTTGTGCAGAGCCAGAGCAGGAGCCCAAAGAATGCAGGGTAGAACATGGCCGACGTGTAGAAGCCCAGCCAAGCGAAGTACACGGCCACTTTCACCCCAAAGTATTCGCAAATCTGGTCTATTACACAAAAAATAGACAAGATCCCCGTATAGCTTTCAACAGACTAGTTGGGGCAAGTGCTGTTAGCGATTGCCAAGCAGGTGGGTGGTCAGCACCGCGCCCGACAGCCTTTGTACTCCCTGATGTTTAGGTTTACACACCCCACCAGGTACTCATTCAAGGCTAAGTCAACCTAGGGGAGGCCCAGGAGCAGTTCAGATATAATTACCACAAGCACAGACCACACAGTAACCAACATGCGTGCACTTTTACAGATGTCTATAATGTGACTTTGAGTCTGAGGAAGTGGGCCATCACTTTTCTAAACAAAGAGCATGGAATATACATGTTTTATGAGGAATATTCCATTATTTTATATATTTTTTATCACTGATGATATTCCACTTATGCGAATGGTAAAACCCTTTTAAAACACCACAAAGGCAGAGAGCAAGATCTCAGAAGGCAACAAAGTTAGAGATCAATACATATTTCCTACCAACACTCAATAGCGCTGCTTCATACGGTGTAAGAAATGGTTTGTCAATATTTGTACGAAAGCATTTTAGCCCTCACATATTAGCAAATTGCATTGAAGTAAGTTAATAATTACTTGACATTTTCTTTTTGGTCCAGGAGAAAAGGCTGAGGTTGTCAAATCATTATAACTGATAAACTGGTTCAATCATGGGTAGCTGCCTGGATCGTGAATTCCCTGCTGACTCAGGGAATTCACAAGGCTAACTAAGTCACTCGCCCATCCTGATGATTATCTTCTTGTGCGCCATGGGTGCTCGAGTTTCCAACTTAAAATTTAACATAATATATGGACGTCAAATTGTTGTACTTCAAAATCCCATATCGTAGCAATAGATGTTTGAGGCACTGGTGTATTGTACAGAGTGATCCAGATGTCTTGTGACCCTAAATACCATTCTGCAAAACTTTTTTGTTACAAAAGGAAGTAAGGTTTATTTTAAACAGAAATAAATCTGTAAAGTCACGTAGGTATAAAATAAAATAAATCACGACGTTTCGGGCGCAACACAAGCGTCCATCATTAGGTGGGAAAGCATGGTCTGCTGCTGAGGCAGACTGTTTTAAAAAAAAAGAAACGTCGTGATTTATTTTATTTTCCACCCACGTGACTTTACCGAAAGAACCAAAGAGTATGGATTATTGCAGTCACGAAAGCTTCAAATCAAGATAGAAATTAATCTGCAAAGGAAAAAAATACTCGGGGTCAACTAATTGGGGTCACCAGACATCTGGACCACGCTCTACATTCGTGGTGGTGCTTACACATTGCGGTCCAAAGTAGACATGAGTACTGCACTACCCCCTTCCCCTTTTAATTTATAAACTCCTTGTGAGATGACAAAAGAGATATGGGCAATATTGATGTAGTAAGATATGAGAAATGTAGACAAATATACAGATGAGTGTGATGTGGGAGAGACATGCAGACAAGATAGAGGTCAGAGATATTAATGCGATTTAATTTGAATAGCTTGTGCATGGGTGCCGACCGCAGTGTGGCAGTGTAGTTGTGGGGAGTGTTGACGGAGTTGTTACTTGCTGACCTAGCGGCTGCTTTTCCAAGAAGCCGTACATCCATGTCTTAGCGAAATGTGCCAGGGCCCGAGACTCGTGGAGAGGGAAAATTTGAGCCACCACTCCCTTGGCCAGCAACTCTGGAACTGCACAAAATCACACGCGGAGGCCGACGACCGTGAGCACCGAACGATGCGAGAGAGCGTGACGACAGCAGCCCGATTCGACTTCTTGAATTCAAACCCACTCGGCAAATTAGCAAAGACACAGAAACTGTCGCCTGCCCAAGGGGGCCGAGCGAGCGTGCGCGCTGCCACATTTCGCGCGGGTGTGTTCCTGGAAAGAGCCACCCGGGACGCACAGATGGCCTGTCCCTCCAGGAAGTTCACGTTGCCCACGCGTTCCCCTGAGCGGGCTCGCACGTTGTCCAGCGTGTGGCAGATGATGGCCTGACGCTCCTGTGGCACGCAAACACGCGCACACACGCACGCAGCGGCACAGCGGGCACTCGTGGTCGTCACGAGTGGCGGCACGAGCCCGCAGTTCAGTGGGTTGATGGCGGTTGTTCGTGCGCTATGCAGACATGTGCAATGGTGTCAGAAGCTATAATAAAGCAACGTGGCTCTCCCCCTGCCTCCCCCCCCCATACATTTTCTTGGTCTGGGGAGGGGGAAATAACTGGTTTACATTGCACGGTAGTACTGCTACATATGGATTATATGTGTGTCTGTCCCTCTCCTATGTCCCAGTGTGTGTCTGCGTCTCTCTCTGGATGACAGATTTACTGGGCCCCATACTTATTTGTAATCTGTACAGTCAGAACATTGTACGGTACAGTATAATGTATCTACACGTATAATGCGAATGTGTCAGCCTGTTGATATTTCCAAAAATAATGTTAACCAGCAGCTAGCAAACTCTGGGCTGGTTTCACCATTCTAGGCTTCATCAGCAGAATCATCTGATGAGCTAGATGCCAATAAGTGCCCTTTATCTCCACCATGTCCATTTTGCATTTTCAGCACTCACTAGTTACCGTCAACGGTGTTGCACGTGTGTGTTCTATTGCTTAACATGAAGACTTCAACGCACCTGCGAGGTGAGGGGGTCCGTGTTGGGAGAATTGTAGGCGTGCACAAAGTTTGCCGCCTTCTTGGGAAACCAATTTTTTCGTAATTTCTGGAAATCGCAGTGCCTGTCCTTTCTCAGGCCCATGGCCTCCGCACCTCTCACCAGGCTACAAGCACGGAGTCGAGAACGAAGTTCACGTGAGAGCCCGCTTAGTCTGATGACGCTTGTGCCAGGTCGTGCTTTAACATTTGACAAACATTACAGTGTGATACAACAACGACGACAACAACAATAACAACCGCCAATTGCCACTAAGTGGCAGTGTAGTCACCACAGCTGTTGTGCCAAGTTAGGTGCACCTTCAGACCACGTAAAGTGTCGACCGATCGCCTGTGTACACACGCACAAACACCAGGGTAACCTTAAATGTATTTACGATCTTACGATTAGGGATTTTAACCACGCGCGCCACGCAGCGAAGACCAAAAACTCATGATCGGTGTGCGAGGTAACACAATAAAAACTGTCGTCTAAATACTGTGCGTGAAAGCAACATTGTTTCAAAGTGGCAAATTACCTCAAGAAAATCATAGATCAATAATAAAAAAAAATATCTTAAAATAAAAACATTCACGCCAAATGTGAGACAATGAGAAGCCGGGCAAGGTGGGGGAAGGGCACGGTGGGGGAAGGGCACGGTGGGGGAAGGCCACGGTGGGAGAAGGGCACGGTGGGAGAATGGCACGGCGGATTTCCTTACTCATCGTGGCTGGCCGTGAGGTGCAGCACGGTGCACGGGATGTGACTTATCTCCACCAATAGCTCCGGAGCCTTGGCCTTCAAAATGTCCAGCACCCACAGCACGGTGGGCATGGGAGTCTGGTCTGAGATACCGACGTGCAAAAGGACATAGTACAGGGTGTAGAGAAGGGTTTGCCAGCAGTTATGCACGAATATATGTTGAACTTCTTTCGCACCGTACGTAGCCAACCGCGCTAATGGGAGTTGCGGGGGAAGGACAAAAAACTAAACACAAAAAGCAGTCGCTCCGGTCCTACATCCCATATCTCAACCAGACGTCACTAAATCTATGACTTTTTAAAAGTTAAAATATTAACAATTAGAATACACGGTCACCCACTATTTAAATGTTTTGACAATTCTTTTTGTTAACAGTTAATGTACAAATATGGACACTTGGCATCTTGTTAAATGTAAATAATTTAAATATGTAAGTAAACGTATGACTATGGTATTGTGCACTGTGTAAATGATTGTATATAGGAAAGTGGACTTATTTTAAAAAAATGCCTGGACAAATAGAGTAATGGGAGGAAAGAATTGTTGATGTGTTGCCATAAAACTGACGGTGTTTTAATTACATGGACCCGATTTAAAATCGCTATATCTCTGCAACCACGAACCGCCCATGAATGAAACTCTTACCACTTGAAAGGATGGACATAGAGAGGGCGGGGCATAGAGAGGGCGGGGCATAGAGTTTCAAAAGATTACCGCGAGATGCCTCTCCCAGCGCACAAACAGCCCCTAGCCTCAGTCATTTGCAAGACAACACTGCCTCAACGTTGGATAGGTCGCACGGGACCCTAAGACTTGGCGCTACACTCTTGGCCCCCAAGATCCCCAGACATCATCACACCCCGTGACTTTTTCTTATGGGGATACGTCAAAGACCCTGTTTTTGTGCCACAATTAGCGACTATTCTGGATGACCTCAAAAACAGAATCACGGCAGCGGTGACTTCAGTGGAAGAAGACACTTTGAGAGGCGTTTGGGACGAATTAAACTGTCGTGTCGATGTTGTCCGTACAGCAGGTGGAGGGCACATAGAGCATTTATGAAATGGTTAGTATAACTTGATAACTCATTAAACCACTCATTGTTTTTTTCGGTAAAGTCACGTATGTAGAAATACCATAAAATTATATTAAAATAAATAAATCACGACATTTCGGCCGCAACACAAGCGATCTTCATCAGGTGTAAAAAAACAAATAGCACATAGGGTGACATCAACGCAACACATAGAGAGCGTTAAACAGCACGGAGGTAAATACAACAAGAAGATGAGAGACGAGAATTCAACAAACCTAAGAAAAAATTTACCTGATGCAAAACCAGTCAGGCCAACGACACAGTTAGACACTTGCCTGGCAGACCACGAATTTCAGAAGAGTGCTAAATTTCGTGTTCATCCTCTGGGTTGAACATACCAGCATAGACAGAGTGAACAAATACGAGGTAGAAGATAGCAGAAATACATATACAGGGACACCAAGAGGCAAGGTGAGGAAAGACGGACAGAGAAGCAAGAAAAAGGGGCCGGAGGGATGAACAGACAGAGGCTTAAAATAAGCAGTAGAGGTGGGGGGAGGGCCCGAAGAAAGCAAGGGGCACGGCAGCAGCAGAAGAGGGGGGAGGGGCAGGAAAATGTAAGGGGGCGCAATTAGTTTAGGACATAATTGTAAAGGTGACTTCCCCGTATAAGTGTGTTAATAAAGAATTAAAGCTTTCGTGACTGCATAAATTACTCATTGGTTTTTTCGGTAAAGTCACGTATGTAGAAATACCATAAAATTATATTAAAATAAATCAATCACGACGTTTCGACCGCAACACAAGCGATCTTCATCTGATGAATATCATGCAACATATGAAGATCGCCTGTGTTGCGGTCGAAACGTCGTGATTGATTTATTTTAATGTAATTTTATGGTATTCCTACATACGTGACTTTACCGAAAAAAAACCAATGAGTAAGTTATGCAGTCACGAAAGCTTTAATTCTTTATTAACTCATTAAACCGTTTGTAACTTTTTGTGCAATTGTAACATGTTGCCATCGTGAAATATACTGCTTTGAAATTGGGTCCATCTTTTTTAAACACCCTGTATTATAGATACACATTCCGTATGAATGGTAAGCGGCATGGATTAACAGAAATCAACACTTTATTTTTTACACGTGTATACATGATGCTGCCCTGACCAAAGTCGACAATCGAGGTCACGCACGCACGGATGAAAAACAAAACTCACCATGAAAAACGATAGCAACATCGCACTCCATCCTGCTATTTACAGGCACAGAACCCGTACCGCATGACACCGCGCGCCTTGGTAGCTGCAATTCCTCCTGGATATGAACGAGAAATTGCACCAGGATAAAAAACACATGCATTACAAGGATTCAAGTTGACGAGTTGCTTTTACATTAGGCTGTTTTGATTCACATTGATTTGACAATTGGTGTAATGTTTTAAAGAAAGTATTTTCCCCATCATTGTATTCACGGTGCACAGTTTCCATCCTGCCATGAGCCATGGCATCTATTCGGAACTCTTGATGAGCAAAGTGGCCCTGTTTGTCCTGGAATGGCCGCACAACATATTTTCACGGAAATTAATTTTTAAAAATGTAGCAAGTGGCCTCTTTTATCTTTGGACAATAGGGAGCGCAGATTCCCCGCGGATGCAACATTCAAACTGTATGTTGCATGATATTCAAACGGATAATGCTCAGAGTTGGACGTTGTATATTTTGGAAACTTTTTTTTTATTCTGCAGAACAGTGGGCGTATTCACAAAATACGCCCACTGTTCTGTACAATGTCTTGAAATATGGTTGCATTTAGAAGCTATGTAAACCCACATTGTATTATAATGAAGCTATTTCAGCCACTATGATTATTATTCAAACTTATTGTCTACAGTAATTCTAGACATGATCACACTTGCAACGGGCATTAGGACTAATTTTATCTTCCACTCTTGCACAGTTGAAACCGCACTTGTGGTGTGTCAATTCTCACAATATATCCAGTGTCATCCACATAACTGAGGGTTGATGTCCATGACAGATGCTATCCATCTTTCACGATGTTCAGTCTCTCATTGAAAGTTCAACTGCTCACAATATCCTACCAGCTGCTACGTTTCCTTACTCTTCTTTACCCACTCCCCTTACAATTGTTCTGCACAATCATCCTCATCACCTCTCCAGCTGTGACCGTCTTAGGATATGTCCAGCATATGCCACCTTTCTTCTCAGTAATCATTGCTTGCACAATTCTCTCTCGACACATCTTAACACGCCAGCTCACTCATTCCATTCTTCCGTAACCCCACATCTCAAGCGCATTTAGTTTGCGTTTGACACAGTAATTGACACTCGTTACGATGGGAATATGGTGGTACGATTACCAGTGCAGTGAGCTTCACGGGAGCATTGCATTTGGTGTTCGCTGATTTTTTCTTACAAATGCGAGGCTGTCGCGAAGGCGCTACGTTTTGCAGGAGTGGGCGATGTTGCTGCGTTTGATCCCATTTGAGTAATTTGCAGGTAATTAGCTAATTTTGCACCACGATACCTGCACGCAATGGCCTACTCCTTTTGAATGACGTTACAGGATCGTTAATGTCCAATGAAACAGACGAGAGGTATTTTACGGTTAATACATCCGAAGTAATAACCAGGGCAACCTACTGGATCGGAACCGTGAACTTCTGCAACAAGCGGCGAACACGTTACCGCTGGACCAAGCGTTACCACCTTGTGTGCACAAAGCCATGAACTGTGGTGACATGGTGGCATTCTGTGGTGATTTAATTTGTAAACTGTGCCATGGCATGTGAAGCAAAGTACATGAAGGTGTTAGCGAGAGGGTTAGGATAGTTGTAACAATGGCTAGTGTTTGTAACGTCGTGGGATGTATAGCAAGTCATGCTGTGTTTATGTCATGTCCGAATGCGTGAAATTAATTATTTTGGGATTGATCATGTCGGTATGATGTCAATTAGGGCTAAAACGCTCCACCACATACAAACAAACAAAATTATCACCTGGACAAATGTGCCAGTTGAGTTTGTGTTTCAGCAATGTGGTTAGTTTAAAAGCCAGCAAAATTTCACACTTTCCTACGATGTTTCACCGGAGATTAAAACCAGCATCATCCGGTATTAACAAGTGATGTAACCTCACGTGAATTTGCTTCCCGATCTTGGTTCTTAATTAAATGCATGTGTAATGAGTCATAATTCCCAGGAGATCCTCTAGATAATGCCTGAACTCACTACACATGCATTGTAGTGGTTACCCTTCTCTTGCATGATCTCCTAATTAATCCCAGGACAAATCTTCACTGCATTTTAAATTCTTCTTTGGTTCTTTGGGTAAAGTCACGTAGAATGAGAATAAAATAATAAATTGATAAAATAAAATAACACAATAATATTCTCACGACGTTTCGGCCACAACACAAGCGGCCTTCATCAGGTGAAGGGACGAGACTGTCTGGTAGGACAGGCCGCTTGTGTTGTGGCCGAAACGTCGTGAGAATATTATTGTGTTATTTTATTTTATCAATTTATTATTTTATTCTCATTCTACGTGACTTTACCGAAAGAACCAAAGAAGATGAATCATTGCAGTCACGAAAGCTTTAAATCGAAATGCATTTTAAATTGTATGCTCCCACCTTAAAGATCAACCGTGTTCGCAGATGTCGAATGTCGAGTGAGGTCTCTATCTATGTGACTCGGCCATGCTCAAGCTTGGATAGCTCCACCGATTATCAGAATCAGAATATGTATTTATACTGGAGGAATCCGATGAGATATAACGCTCTTTTTCATAGATGTCTAGTACAGGCGGGTCAGAAAGTTACAATACAAAAGCACAATTAACAGGAGTGCAATGTAAAGGAGAGGCAAGCAAATCGCAAAAAATGTAAACTGGACTATTTGTTTAATATTATTGCTCAATAATAATGATTTACATTTAGAAGGTGCATTTCACCCGTAGATCCCAATGCGCCACAGTGTATGGAAGGCAGAAAATAAACAGCACCTGCAGGGTAAACGGCCAGAACGAGTGGGGATAAAGGCCAGTTTAAAGAGGCGAGTTTTCAATAGACTTAAAGAGCCCTAACGACTCCGATTGTCTTATTACCAAAGGCACAAAGCGTTGTTCCAAAGTCTGAGAGCTGCACTGACAACAGCCCGATGAGCCCAGGACCAGAGCCTTGACCTCACCGGAGTCCTTAGAAACAGGCGATCCGAAGATCTCAGGAACCCCGCTGGGGAGTAAACGCGGATCAATTCCTGCCAATACTCTGCCGATTGTACGGGGCGTTGAATTGCTTTATACAATACGAGCAATGTAATAAGTATTCACGAGGAAAAGTGTTCATCACGTGGAGATAATAATAGTACTTCCATAATACAGGTTTTTTTGGGGGGGGGTTAGATCACATGAATATAAATGCGTCGTTAAACCCGCCATCACCCAACATTCCATTAGTAAGGTTTGTCACGTAAACAGAACATGCCAATTCGTTACTAGTGTAGTGTGCTAATTCACAGACACTAGTAAGAGGTACTCTCACTCTTGTATTCCGGCTTTCACAGCCTTAGGGGATAACCACACACTGGGTCGGGACAGCCAACAAAACGACGACGGCACGACGAGTTCCACTCCAGATCGTAACAGCCCCGACTGTGAGTCGGAGCTCGCCTTTTTGCCTGAACAGCGTGGCCAGGCTCCGCCCTCGGTCCCTCCCCCCGCACCCCTCTGGATCCCCCAGAGGACTCCGTGCCTTGCCCACAGGTGCAACTGGTACAACGGGCTGCTGTTACCCCTCATTCTATTGTCTACCAATCTCCCAGCGGCACGCGCTACAGTGATTCATCAATGCCACCACACTAGTACAGCACACCGGTGTGTTGGAGAGTAAATCGACAACATTTACAATCTGAGTACTTGGAGAGTAAATCTATTCGATAAAAAAATGTTTTCATTCGATACAAAAAATCGATTTTAAAATGTGTTCCCCTCTTCCTCTCCCGTGTTGTAACCCCCCCCCCACCCTTCACCTCCAACCAACCCCCCACGTCGTTCAACTTGGAGTGTCAGCCCCTGCTAACCCCCACAACACATAATGCGACCCAAAGGTCACACCACCCTTACCCCTCCCCACACCATTTTCCTTTTGTGGTTGTTGTTTGGTGCGAATGGGATCACATCCATAGTATTGGGCCATCAGGCACTCACCTTGACCACAGAAAAACGCCGGGTGCTCTTGGGAAAACGGTCATTGAGAACGTGCAACCGTGTTCGGTTTTTAAAACAGTATATAAATAAAGGTTCAAAAATAGGACATACGTTTCTTATGTGTCATATTGTTCCTTTTGTATTGTGCAAGGGCTGTGTATAATAATGTACCATAAGCATGATTAATACCGATAGCGATGTATAATTTATAATTAAATATATGGTTACAGTGAAGTACATATCACTTTACAGCACCTCTATATATACACACACGGTATGTGCTATTTTAAATGTTTCTAATTTAAGAAAAAAGTAAAAAAATATGTTTTGATATATATTGTCATATATGGCTAGATGATATATCACATGTCGCAGATATTTAGTTTATAAGGCAATACGAATTGAGGAAATTTTAATATAATACAGGAATGCAAAATACATTTTAGGAGGATTCACAAACCTCGTCCCTTTAAAGAGGGAACGCTGCCGTTTTGGATTTCGCTGGCGTAGACGAAGTTGTTTTAAATAAACCGCGAAAAAGAGTCCCATCAGTGTACGGACACTCAACTGTCTGCCTTTTAAATCTTGATTTGAAGCTTTCGTGACTGCAGGAATCCATACTCTTTGGTTCTTTCGGTAAAGTCACGTAGTTAGAAATTTTAAAAAACCACGACGTTTCGGGCGCAACACATGATGGACGCTTGTGTTGCGCCCGAAACGCCGTGATTCATTTTATTTTATACCTACGTGACTTTACCGAAAGAACCAAAGAGCGTGTCTGCCTTTTCGTTCTCCGAACGGCGGAGCCGCCTTTGCTCTGCTTGCTCCCCGTTGCTGTTTGGGGGCAGGGTAAATACCACCCGAGAGCGAGCTGTCCATCGCCAGGCGTCACGCGTTAGGCGCTCAACTTTGAAGTGGCCTCTAGGGGTGGTGCCACGGTGCCGCAAGCCCTCGACCCGTCTCAACTCGCGCAGCGGCGCGCTTCGCTTACCTCGTTCAAACTCCGTTCACGCATTCGCTCTCCCTCTCTCTCCTTCGCGGAATATTCTTCTTTTAAGTGACACGGGCTGACCTCGTCCATCCGTTAATCTTAATATAGTAACGTGACGTTGCAAACAACTTTCTTTTTCAGAGCACGTCTTTCAAATAGTTATTGTTGACCATACCTGTCAACCCCTTATCAGTGCCTATCTTATTATAGACCAATTCAGACCTTATTGGTCACCCCCGTACCCCTTATAAATCTCATCGCTCATCCAACAAAGTCCCATCACAAGGGAGAAACACACACAAATAGACAAAACACGTTTTTGCCCGTAATGAAACGGATGTACGCCGTATGGACCTGAAAATGACATTTCCCCGTAAAAGAATACGGTGTAAACCGTATGGGTTGACAAGGTGTGTGTTATCCACACGTACGTTTTAAGGGATCATTTAAGGCATCGCCTCTGTTGCCTTGGCTTCACGCCTCACAGTCACCATCATCTATGCTTGTGCAATGTACGTCCTCTTTGGTGAACTTATTTCGCACCGTACCCAGCCAACCGTGGTATTGTGCAGGGTTACAAATGACATTATTGCTGTTATTATTGTAGGCGTGTCGCTGCCACGTCTTTGTGTGCGAAGTTTCACGTTTTATTATCGTGCATTGTTCTTATCGTCGACCAACATCAAGCCTCAGCAAGCATCGCGGCACAACTAAACATTGAGTTATTCTTCATAGGAGAGGAAAGTTCTGCTGGTGTAAAATTCAACTTTCTGCCAAGAGCAGTGTTGTCAGTTTGAGGAGAATTGTCAGAGTTCCTATCACTTCAGGGCCCCGTGGATTAACTTACCAACCAGTCATTACCGTCGGTCCACCCCCCCGCACAACTCAATGAGTTAGAATGGGCGAGCGCATCCGCCCACATGGCCGTATATCGACACACCTGAGTGTGAGTAAAGTTCAAGGTCATAGGGGTTGCCACCTGTCCAGATTTTTCTAGTATCATACTCCTTTCCTGTATTTTCGTTTTTGGGTATCTGTCCTGGGAAACTTGAAAGTTTTCTCGGTATATATATATAAAAATAACAATTGTGAGTCGCATAATAAGACACCACTCAAGACAATGCATGTGCATGTAGTTCACCCCTCTTCTGGTATTGTGAGATATTCTTAGTTCCATGATATGCCTCGAGTTTTTTTTGTGTACCTCAAAGGTGGCACCTTTACAAGGGAAAGAATGCATCGTGGACATTGTTGTTGTTGAACCCGCGATCTCCACTGGCGATCCTGAGCAGCTGGGGTAATTACAGATGTTTGAGGAAACCAGTCTCTCAAAAGGACAATGGCCTGGCCTACATCCTGACATGCGACCAATATCTTAAAAAGCTTTGACATACTTTGAATGTGGCCAGTACTGTAATTGTTTGAATAATAGTTTTAACCGCTTGCTTTTTGATGTAAAGAGCACGCCTAAGTTACTTCCCGGCTCTTACAGGTAGGAGCTGAAAGCTTGAAAAAAAAGTACTTCGTAGACGGTGCTTAATATCAGCCGGAACGATCTCTGAAACGCTGTTCCGGAATTATGTTCAAACGCAGCATCCATCTCGCCTTATTTTATCCTCATAATACTGTAGTGCGTGGTGTGTTCGGTGGTGGTGCTGGTGTGCAATGGCTTGGCGTACCTTGTACTCTAGTGGTAGTGCCTTAAGCCAGCCCAGCGATGTTGCGGGAAATATTGAATGAGATCGTCTGCCCTGTGCAGAGACATACGTGAGCTGGCGGTATTCATAAACACATTCTTAACACCTTACTGGTCCTGTTGTACTTTTTCACTTTTTAAACAAATTCACTTTATTTGTATATAACTGTAAGTACATAATCACTGTTAGCTTATTAACATCATACATGTTATTGGTTGCTAATGTTAATAATTTAATATTTGCAACATTTGCAAAGATTGTGTTAAATATACTTTAGTGTTTGTTTAAATATGCAGATGACAACCTACTCTGTTCCCCATTGGCTGATTTCTTACAGAGGTTCCAAAGCGTTAAGCCCCCGTTTTACGTAAAATTATGTGTTCACATGAACCAACATCTACAAATCCCACATTTTCTAGTTTTAACAGACACAATAAGTGAGTGGCGCTAGGCACAAGCAAACTAAGTAAAATCGTTGGGCCCCAAGTAGGCCAAGGGTCCCCAGATTCATGAAAAAATATAGGTACATTAAAAATCAACTGGAATTTGAATCCTAAAAAAACTTGCTAATTAACATAATCGCTTATCTCACTGCATTAATATGTTTGCCTACATTTCTCCGATCTTGCTCCATCGCGATCTCTTGTCTATAGCTCTTCTGTCATCATCTCACTAGAAGTTTATATATTTAAAGGGGGGAGCCCAAAGACTAACTTTTGAGGGCCCCCAATGGGTTCACACCACTGCTGACTGAAATCCACCTCGCCTGAATACGATCTTTAAATTCACTTTCCCTAACGCATGACAACAAGAGTATGCAATGGATGCGGTAACATTTATCCCACTTTTGCTATTGTCGATAAGTGCGCTCATATATTAAAAGAACAATGTGTTAACATCAATGTATGTTGAACTTCTTTCGCACCATGCGTAGTCAACTGGGTTAATCGGAGGTGCGGGAGAAAGCCAAACTAAAGACATAAAACAATTTGTTAACATGTGGATGTAGAAGCCTCACATTGCATGACCCTTTCAGTCGATTTCACAGAACCTCTCTTTTAAGATGAGATGCACATATCTAAAAGGATATATGATGTATAACATTGCATATTTTGTTTAATATGTAGGCTTTCGTGACCAATAATATCCATAATAGAGGGGTTTTTTTCTGGATTAGAGTGCGTAAATATAAATGTGTCGTTAAACCCGTCGCCACCCGACACAGCGAGTTAGTAAGGTTTGTTACGTAAACAAAACATGGCAATTAATTACAAGTTCAGCATACCGGTAATTACAACCAGCCTCATCAGGCGACAGCTAGAATGCCCGAAATGTCGTACTCGAATTGCAAATGTTGTGGGTTTACTATCGAACATATCGGTGTACTAAACTAGTAACTAATTGTCACTTTTGTTTACGTGACAAACCTTACTGATTGGCTGTATTGTATATTTTATTAGTCATTTTACATGTTCAGATCTTGCATTCAAAAATCTCACAATGTCAATAACAACAGTCCAGGCATCGCTTTGTGTTCTGGTCATTCACTCAGAGAATTCACTTATAATGCCCGACATTCTTCACCCACTCGTGGGGTGAATCTAACTCTTGTATTATTTTCTGCACAAAAAAAACACGAACTGAGGACCATGATTGGAAAATCTGGCCTCAGTTCCCTAATATAATTTTTTACATTTATTTTACCAGGTAAGGCACACTGAGCTGTGTATCCCTTTTTGAGTTGCGACCTGGCCACAGATGATAGTTCAACGAAGTGTCTAATCATGTGGAAATTAATAGCAACCAAATAGTCGAAACGCGTGTTGTTTCTAAATGTGGGGGGGGGGGGGGGGGGGGGGGGGGGGGGAACCGGAGGACCCCGAGAAAAATCCACGCGACCACGGGGAAAGAGAGAGACACGCAAACTCCAAATACACAGCAGCAGCAGGCGTCAGTCAGGGTCGAACCCACGCCCTCCGGTATATCAGCCGAGGGAAATAACGTCACCACGGAGGGACAATACTTGACTTCAAAACCTTACCCGTGACAAGCCAAACAGCGGTGCATTTATTGGTCAGAATGTGGGGGATTACAACATGTAATTTGGAGCAAGTGTTCCACTTTGTAACGTACAGGTATAGTTAATCTCACTTTGACTAAAGGTTTGGATGGACATTCACAGCGGCCCCCAACTATTGGGACCTAAGGAAAGCTTATCAGGGCAGTCTTCTTCATCATCATCTTTGGAATGGATAAGATTGAGTAGCAAATAGAAATGAGTCCCCACTCAAACGAATGAGTCCCCACTCGTGCCTTCGGAGAACGCCCGCAGTCAGGGCATTACACGGTCGCATATCTGACTCGCTTGGAACTTAGGTGTAGGTAAATGTGTGAACATTAATGTCGAATACGTGAAAATCGATATCAAATTGCAGTTACACCATCGCACAAGTAGGTTACCGAACAGAAATTAAGTGCGAGCTGCTGTGAACAATGGAAAGATGCTTTACCGTGCAGAAATGTAAAAGTGAATGCGAGATTACGCACGCATTTCTGAGTTGCAATAACGTGGAATTTGTAGACATCGACAGAGAACGATATTTACACCGTGCGCCACAACTTGACTGGATGTGGGCTGTTAATTGATCCAGAGAGAATATGTTGATGGTTGGGTACACACACATAACATGCATGGACACATTACAGTCATTTTACCATAATAGTAAGTGATGTTAAATATATACACTCTAAAATATACCACGTACCTTATTAGCCTGTGCTGATTTTTTTGCTCTCAATAAATACACAACAAGAAACCCCCTCCTGTGATGAACTTCAGCCTCGGGTGACGCAAATTATTTTATCAGAACAAAAACATGCGTGGTTTCTTTTTTACTTTGCGAACTCACTTTTAAACGACAAACTAAAAATCAAGTGGTCCCGAGTCGGTGGAAATGCTTTCCGTATAACTCTGGGGCTCGTGTAGACAAAAAAAGAGCAACTGTCCTTGTTCGATCGGGGACAGGTTCTGCTGTAGAACGAGGGCGTCTATCGTAAATCATCTGTGCTGTGCAGACTGGGTTCTGTGTTGGTGGGAAGTGTCGGGGAGGGGATGGGTGCAATAGTGGGGGGCCTATCTTTAGCCCCTGATCCAATTTCAATGGCACTGCACCCAGCCACGCACGTCGCACGTAAGCACATGCTGCAGAAATTGGCAAAACAGACACGTGATAATGATGGCACCGTCTATCAATTAGCTCACGGTCACCGTTGAGGCTGTCTCGTGTAACTTGCCTTGCCACTCAAGTCTCCAACGCTAACGATGATTAAAACATTGATGCTGCTATTTTGAATTAATTTTGTGGGTAAAAAAAACTAATTTGGTGACGTTTTTTTTTATTAACTGAAGTTGGCACTCGAAAAATTATTTAGAAAGAACCCCACTATGGTGAAATCACAGTTGGGTACAAACTTGATTTGAAGCTTTCGTAACTGCAGGAATCCATACTCTTTGGTTCTTTCGGTAAAGTGACGTCGTGATTTGTTTTATTGTATTTCTACCTACGTGACTTTACCGAAAGAACCAAAGAGTTCGGCACAACGCGTTAATTTTTGTAAAACAAATAATGTAGTAATTTGTCATCCACATGCGGTGGGGGTTGTGTGCGGGATGGTAACGGGAGACACACACGCCCCAAACTCTGTTCAAATGCCTGTCACCACTCAGATGTCTCGACTCACAGGACAGGCTGCTAACCGCTGCATCACCGGCTCCACCCCCTTCATGTTTTTATATATGCTCACTGAAAATCGTGAAATAATCCAGATAAATATTCGAAAAACACAGGCGTTGATGCATTTGTGGGGAAAGTAATCTAATGCTAACAATGAGAACGAGTGCATGTTATGTTTGTTTCCTTCTTTCCATACACGGTGGCACATTGATCTACGGAGGAAATGTATGTTGACCTTCTTTCGCACCGTACGTAGCCAACCGTGCAAATCGGAGGTGCGGGGGAAGGACAACTAAACGTGGTGTGAGAACCGTGATTGATAGGCATGTAAATTAAGATGCATTGCACTATCGTTGTTTTGGGTTAGATCGCGTAGATATACCATCCGACACAGCCAAGTAGTAAGGTTTGTCACGTAAACAGAAAATGTCAATTCGTTATTGGGACAACCAAATCTGGCTGTCGCTTGATGAAGCTAGTTGTAATTACTGGTGAAACGTCGTACTCAGATTGCAAATGTTGTGGCTTGGCTCTCCAAGACATTGGTGTAATGTACTAGTGTAATGACTTGACACACTTGTCTTGAAATGGTTTCTTTAATGTAGACACGTTCACTCGATCAGGCGGAGACCCCACTGCAACAGCCCCGTGTCTCCCACGCCTCTCCCTTATATACCAACCGAGGCCACGCCCCCCTTCCCGAACCTTCTCGCTGGCTGTAGACCGCTCGCTCTAGACCGCTCGCTCCACCAGCAGACTCCACCGTCCTCTTCCGTCACCTGGCCACGCTCCTATTCTCGATCATTCCCGTAGCCACCAGTCCCTTCGTACTGAAAGCTGACACCCGTCATTACCTCCAGTGGCCACTAGTCCACTCACACCGCAGGTTGGCTGTCATTACACTAAAAGGCCATCAATTTAGTACCTACGCAAAAATCTGTCAAAACTTGACCACTCTCCCTGTACGCACGCGGACGTTTTACCCCCCTCCCGAATCCTAAAGAACGGCCGATATTTAATCCACGCAGACACGACCAAGGATGAATAATATTAACGTGTTTAAGCAACAGATAGTCCACCGCCGGACTATCTAATTTGAAGGCCAATGCAGACAAATTATTATCGAGGCTTCGCCCCCCCCCCCCCCCCCCCGTTGCCTATGCGTACGTAGTCAGTAGACCCCCATACGCAAGTGTACACGCGTACGTACTAAATGGATGGCCCCTAGTAACTTGTTTACCGTGACAAACCTGACTAATTGACTGTCGGATGGTGGCGGGTATGACACACGTATGTATTTACGTAATCTCAACCAAAAAAAAACCTGTATTATGGATATTAGTCGCGAAAGCCTACGTGTTAAACTGAAAGATGCATGGATTCATCGATTTAAAATTGATTCCAATGCTCCCACCACGCTGCACTTACCAACTGCGTGCCACCGGCTTGCACGCGTACGCCCCAGTGTGATGTACTCTGTTGCTGCAAACCTCTCCACGTGCTTTTTAACGGGAGCAAATTACAGTACGGTATTTACTACTTTCAAGTGTCATATCTGGAGCTTTCTACTCTTCAATCCGAAAAAAGAAACATTTAAATTCCTGCAACATACTATAGGACAAATCATCATAAAACTTAAGACGCAAGGCGCTTTGCACAATTGTGATCAATCAAGTTATAATTCAATCTAGATTTGAAGTTTTCGTGACTGCAAGGATCCACTCTTGGGTTCTTTCGGTAAAGTCACGTAGGTATAAAATAATTATTAAAGCAGTGAACAATTCAAAACAAGGACCCGAAAACATTTTGGTTTGCCACCAGAGATTTATTCACAACTCCATCATCATTGCATTGTCTCCTTCAGCCTCTGCAAATGACTATGCCGCGGGCGAGAGCATCTTAGACAAATCCTCGATACTCATTGCGCGGCCTCGTCACGGCTCTCCACGGGCTCGAGCCGTGGAGGCAACCCACCTTCAGAAACCACAGCTCTTTGACACCTTACGTTACAAAACCCTTTTAGGATCGCTCATGCCCTAGCCTCTTTGAATCATTACCATTCGGCTGGATTCGATGCTATACCACCGACACTCTTGCGATTGGCAGTTCCATTCCAATCCCAGTAAAACTTTTTTGAAGTCAATTAGTACCCAACTGTTAGAAATGTACTTCTGCTCGCGCAATACATAAAGGTGGAACAGACAATCTAGAGTCTGTGAATTTGTCAGAAATATTTGAAAAAGAAATAGTACAAAAGCAATGTTTATATTTAGGGTCAGGGTTCATACAACTCAAGCCGGTGAGGCTTTAGATCATGGCCAACTGTAAACAAAAAACAGCCACCTCAAGTTCAGTTACCTTTCCAGATAAGAAAAATGTTCGGTTCCTTAAATCACCTCATCAAAAAACATTTGACACTGGTGACTCAAAAATCAACCCTCAAAATAAACTCCGAAAACAGAAAAAAGGCCCTTGGTTTGGTTTCCAACTGCATATAGACAAGAAAGCAACACTTACAATTCTAAAAGTTTCTCTTCGACCCCCAAGCGGGTTCCTCTTGGTGCAGTACGATCACCTCTACTTTAGTTTTTTACATTTACATAAATAATGTCGACACAAGATTTATATGCTCAGAAATGCACTTGTATGCAACAGATGTGATCATACATTCAACCTGCCTCTGGGTAGTTGAAGTTCAAAATACATTTGAATTTCACTCCAATCCTATTCAACAGGATCTCAATTAAAACTTCTCCTGAAAGCAAGTAGAAATAAATTTATTTTCTTTGCCGCGAGTCCCCTGATCTCCGATCATGGCACAATTTCCCTAAGCACAGTCTCTAGCCTCAAAAATGTTAAATCCTACAAACATCGGGGCATCTGACTCAACGCTCATTTGCACTTCAGCACACAAACAAAATCACAGATCAAGTTAGGTTTATTATCACATTTCTCATTCTCCACTCGCAAACACATTGTTGCAAGCACCTTCATTGCCAATGATTATGGTGTAGTGATTGACAAGTCCGCTCACAGCACCGCTCTGAATGGCTTAGACACCATGTGCACGATTCTAAACAAGGGCCGCTGTTCTTGAATGCGATTCAATTCCAAACCACGTTACCTTTCATTGTTCAGACAGAAAAATAAATTGGTTTGACATGTTTTCAAATCAATCAAGATCTACTTGTACGTTTACCTGGTGTGCTTATACAGAAAATACTCCGATGTACGTCTCCCCCTTCTAAGTCGTTTCCCAAATACGGTCATTTTATTAATAGCACGGCCCAATTTGCGCCATCTCAGCCCACTTCCATGTACCAAAAGTTAGCACGAGATTTGAAGAATGTTCACTCAAGTATGCAGCGCATTCTGGAAACAACCCATGTCGCTTCTTGCAGTCAACATTTATTCCCTCTAAATTGGATGTGACAAACTGGATACTTTATATGGTATGTCCAAGAGCAATTATTTTATGATAGTGCTATGTTTTTTACATTTGATATGCTTCGATTTGTTTTGCATGCTTGAGAGTTGTGTTCAACTCCGTTACGCATTTCAATTACTCTCTGTAGAACTGTCGATCTCTTAGCTCTGCATGCTCTCCTTCTGTTGCAAGTATGCTGAAATGTACTCATTACAGGTTTCTTTCAAAATCGACGTGATGTCTCACCTTGTGAAAAAGTGATTGCATCTCGAGTCCCACGTGAGAACACTTAAATCTCTGTCCAGATAGCTTGTCAATAACCTGCTGGTAATACTGCCCCTTATAGGCACCACAGCCAGTACAGCAAGCAGGCAGGCTTCAAATCTACCTGTGCGTAATAGGTATAGGCAATGTTCTGATGCCTTCGTATTATTTACAGCAATATATTGGAAGAGAATGTGTTACAATGAGTTTATTAGTAATTGCAGGCCTATTACACTGTCCGAGGAGTGAGGAACAAAGTTGATTCCACATGATGCCACAACATTCAGTCACACTTGTTTCTTTGGAACGTAGGCAGAAATGTAAAATTAAATTTGAAAACAAGTAAAAAAAGTCTAAAAAGAAACAAGTGGCAAATAAACATCCAAACGCTACCAGTGTCGGAAAGCTAAACCCGACGTAGGTAGCGTTTGTAAAATGATCGCTAACGTTGTCTTCATATTAAAGTACAAAAGTGTGTTATAGACAAATGTACATCCAGATCCGATCTGTAGGCAATACTTAAAGCCTCCATGACTTGTGCTTGACAGATCACTGGTGAGGAATTCTGGGTTTTTATTGTTTTCGTCCCAGTTGATTTATGTTACGTTGTTTTTCGAAAGCCCTTCAGAATAGGGTAGATGTTTTCAAAGGCTTCGTAGATCTCCCCGCGTACCTTGGCACCTGCATGCATAAAACATTGCAAGCAAAATACGTAAATAATAATATAAACTTTAAACTCGTTACACTTCTAGATATGACCGTATCTCAATACTT